CCTGGCCCAGCCTCGCTGAGCTCGGTGCCCCAGTGATCATAGGACAACTTAATTGCCGTGCAACTGCCCAAGATCCCTCTGGTCCCCCTTTGGAAGGTGGAGAGGGTGCGCTGTGTGGCTGCCTGGTTAGGAAGGTCCGAGTGTGTGTTGTGTGGGCCCCCCTGTGCCCCCCCTCACAGGAAGTTGTTATGTCGCCCCTGGAAACCCACTTCGCACCACACGTTCGTTAATCACCAAAAGGACAAGCTCTTGATTCACTGAGGGTGGAACTTAGTCACTCTCCCTCTGTGCCAAGTTCCAAATGAGTGTTCTCAAAGCCCAGAAAATGGAGAACGGGAAACACTCGGCTTGCACCGTGAGGCTCTGTGCGCCACAGGCCTCCCTCCCAGTGGAATGGAGCCCAGAAGGCAGCAGTGGGCAGGAAGAGCGCGGGGAAGGGGGGGAAGAGGCCAGTCGGAGGCCCTAGCAGGCGAGGAGGGTCCCTGAGCGGAAGGCCCGTCCGTCACCCTCCCAGCCCTGTGGTGGTGTGAGGCTTCAGAGGCCTTGCCACCGAAGCTGCCGCCTGCCTCCCAGGGCTGTGCGGTGGGTCCGAGACGGGCCCTGCACAGACACGCGGCTACAGAAGGCGCCTTGCCCGTCACCTGCTTGAGCCTCGTCTCACGGGGGGGGAAGCAGCTGGCCCTGGGAAGGTGGGCCAGGTGACCGTGACCCAGAGCCACACCTCCACTGTCCCTCCCCCCAGGCAGGCAGCTCCCCGTGCTCGTGCTGTGGGAATTGGGTCGCCACGCCCCGAGCCGCCTGCGTCCCCTTGGCTGCCTCCTCTTTTCTCCCTGACCTGTGTGTGGGGAGCCCCCATGGCCGTGGGCGTGCTGGGACTGACGCGAGGCGGCTGCCACTGGTCCCCAGCTCCTCTCCCTGCTGTCGGCTCCAGGCCCTTGAGAGAAGTGACTTCCCCTGGCAGAGCTTCCTGCTCCCTGCCGCCTCTACTCCTCCAGTAAAAAAACAGCAACAGCCAACAACTTATGTATTTATTTACTTTGCCGGAAGGAGGGAGTTGGGCCGCCAGGAGTCGGCAGCTGGGCCGTGGGTGGGGCGGCGTGCGGGGAGCCATCTGTCTCGTCCGCTCCACACCCAGCAGGGAAGTGGTGGCCTCTCTTAGTCACTTGGCTGGCAGCACTGTTTACAGCCACCCGGCAGGGACTCCGCTGCCACCATGAGTGGAGCGGCCACCCTGCCCGGCAGGGGTTAACAGGAGCCTCACGGCCCTTGACGGTCTTCGTGAGCTGGCCTGGCCAGACGCCATCCAGGGCACCCAGGTGAGCAGGTCGCCAAGGGGCAGTCCTTGCAGAGTGGGTGCCTGGCACCCTGATGCCGACCGGACCCTGCTGCCAGGCCTGGCTCCCCGAACACCTGGAGACAAGTAGGGGGACGTGCCCTCGGCTGGCTCCTTCCTCCCGGGCCCCGCAGTCCAGCCGGCCCACACCCATCGCTAGACGCTGTTTGCTGTGTTGTTTTCCACCCAAGGACCTGCTTCTTGACTTTAGAGAGGGGACGGGAGTGGGAGAGAAACGTCAGTCCTTGCCTGTCACGTGTCCCCGAACGGGGCATGGGCCCTGACCGGGAACCAGCCTCAGCGCTTTGGTGGACGGAGCGATGCCGTCCAGGGCAGAGTGGCGTTCGCTCTGAGCGAGGGCAGGTCCTAGCTGGCCAGCGGCTGTGGCGCACCAGGCGTTGCAGGTGCATCAGGCAGCGCGAGGCCCGTGCTGGGCGCCGGCATCTGCCCCCACCGAGTGGCCGCGGGGATTGGCTGCGTGTGCCGCCGGCAGCGCAGACAGGAGTTGCCTGCCTCTGGGGCGCCCGCAAGGGACGTGGGGCGGCCTGTCGGTGCTGAAGGGGGAGCAGAGGGGTAATGGGGGAGAGCCCGCCTCCAGGCCCCCGAGGATGAGCTTGGGGAAGCTCCGCTGGGTGGGACGGGGGACGCCAGACAGGCCCTGGGGCCCCTCGCTCACCCCAGACCCAGCTCCGTGCCCCCCTGGTTTCCAGACCCTGCCCCCCCCCACCCCGAAGCTGACGTCCGTCGTGTGTGTGGCGGGGGAGGGGCCGGGGTTCCTCGGCCGCAGTTGTCCTCACGGTCGGTCCGTTTCCCTTTCGCACCAACTGCGGAGACTTCAAATCTGCACAGAGGCGGCTCGAGGAACGACTGCTGTGCAGCGGTGCCCCCGGCCGACTTCATCCGCCAGGCCGGCTTCGTCCGCCCGGCCCTCAGGTCACAGGTTGTCTCCACGTACTCTGTCTCTCTCAGAGAGAAGGGTTCTCGGTCGTCCGCTTGCTCCTAAGGGTGGACTAGGCTCTGGCCTCCCTGCAGGGCCGTGTTCCCGGCGCCAGGCTCTTGCCTATCAGCGTGGCATCCTCCTGGGCCGGGTGACCACCAGGAGTTAGAAGGGACCCAAAGGTCACCTCAGTGGCACGCTATCTGCCAGCTGATGGGGGCGCCACCTGCTGAAGCCTCCATGTGGGGGGCGGCACTGGTGCTCTTTCTGGCCCTCAGATCCACATGGCCTGGGAGGGACAGACAGACTTGCGTCACTTTGCAGACGAGGAAACAGGCACAGGGTGGAAGGAGCCGCCCGAGGGTCGGCCCTGAGCCGTTCTGGACACGCAGCCTCTGTCCTTTCCCAAGGAGGCCGTCCCCGGGGTGGTCTGGTCTCTTTCGTGGGCCCCGGCTCTTTGGCTTGCTGTCAACACAGGATTCTGGGGGCCGCCTGTGGGCCGGGGCCTTCCCAGGGACCCTCCCCACACGCGGTCCCCTCGACCCCCTCTCTCTGCTGCGCCTCACCTTCCGGCATGCACGCAGCCTGCTAGGTCTGGGTGCGCCCTCAGCTGGGCGGTCGGCTGCGGCCGTGGTAGAGAGTGTTCTCCTGTGGCGGGGAGGGGTCCTGTGTGCTCCCAGGCTGGGGGGGGGGCGGGGAGCGGAGGGGCGGCCTCGGGGCCAAGGGGCGGACAGTGCCTGGTTTCACGGAGCGAGCGGGCCTTCCACCCTGCAGCCCCTCGTGTGCCGGGGTTTGGGAGTGGGCACCGGCACCCGAGCCCTCCCTCCGACGCTGTGAACCGTGGGGAGGCGCGCTCCCCCCCGCCTCGGCCTTGGGTTAGAGCAGCTCGGAGGGCTCGGCTGTACTCACAGAGTTCCGACTGCCTTCACCACAGTCGGTTCTAGAACATTCCATCACCATAAGGAAAACCGCTGCACTCGGAGCCGTCCCCCCGCCCCCAGCCCCGGCAGCTCTCCTGGGCAGTCAGTCCACGGGCAGACACGCACACGAGCCGGGCCTTTGGGCCTGGCTTCTTTCTCTCGGTGGGACGTTAACAGCTGGGGTCACAGCCCCTTCTGCTGCCCTGCTGAGCTTCGGCCTTTGGTTTCTGCGGACAGACGGGTGCCCCTCGTCTCCTCAGCAACACCAAAGCAAGTTCCACAGGGACGGGAAGAATTCCCGTGCTCTTCTAGTGGCCTTGACCTTGCATTCTTGGCCACGTCGACTGTTGCCTCTTGAGGCAGGGATGGGGAGGGGCCAGGGCCCTGCTCCCCCCAACGGTCCATGGGCCAGTGGCATTGAGTTGCCTGGATGCTGGTCCGGGCTGAGCCTGAGCCCCTGACCAGAATCTGCGTTTGTGAACCCCAGGTTGGAGATGCCCCGCTGAGCCCACCCCGCCCTCGGGTACACAGCAGACCCCACCACGTCCAACAGGATGCGGCCCTGTCCCCATGGGACACCTTCAACAGCAGGGGATGGGCTCTGAGTCCGTCAGCCCCTGGGAAGCTCAGAGCTCTTGCACCTCAGAACTGCAGGAGGTGAACCCAGAGTGAGGAAGACCGTCGTCCACGCAGGGCCTTGGGGAAGTCCCCATTTACTCCCCTGATGGGAACCAGGGCCCCCACAAGGGGCCTGCTCCTCTTCCTCTCAACACTTGAGAGTCCCGCCAGCTCTCACCCGCTGACCTTGGAGGGCAGGCAGCTTCTGGGACGGCTGCAAGGGAAGCTTGGTTCGACCTGACGTTGCGTCCCCCGCCAACCGCTGTCTTTTGCCAGGACGCCATCCGCCCATGCGACACTGGAGCCTGAAATAGCTGCGGGGCCGACACTGTGGGTGGGTGCAGGGCGACCGCCCCATTTTTTTTGGCGTCCAGACTCTCCCAAAGCGTCACAGGGCAACGTCGTCCCAGAGGGTTTGTGTGGCTCCTGAAACCTCGATGCCCAGCCAGGTGGCAGGAGAGAAGTCGGGGACAGAGAAGTAGGGCCTGGGGAGTGGCCGTCCAGTGCTGCCCCAGTGACCTCTGTCCAGGGCGCACACCACTCAGTAGCCAGGCCACTCGAGTGGAGGGGGCGCCTGTTCCCACGCCCCCCAGGTCAGCTGGCTCTGCCCTTCGGCGTGGGGAGGAGGAGGCCGCAGAGGAGCAGTGATGAAGACTCAGGTGCTGCTTCCCGGGCATCTGGGCCACCCAGTGCTCCCTGCCCACAAAGCAGCCACTCCTGCTCCCAGTACAATGACATGGCCGTCTGGAGGTCATGTGGCCAGCACAGTGTTTGTCCTCGTGGTCCTTTGGGGCAGAGACCCCGAGCCCCTGGCGTTCCCGGGGTGGAGCAGACAAGGGGCCTGGCAGGTCCCTCTTCTCCTCCCTCTGGCTCGGTTCTGCCGTGGGCCCCTCCCTCCTCCCACGTTCTGCGTCCACTGTGTCTCCAGCTCAAGTTCGTTACCAAAGAGGCACGAAGCATGGGATTCCACTGCTGAGGAAGGTGACCTGGGGGTCTCTGTCCTTGCAACTCTGGTGTCTCCTCCGCAGAGCGAGCGGTGCCACGGGAAGCTCCCCGACCCCTCCAGGGCTCTTGGCTGTCAGCCAGGCCTGGCCTGGTACCCAGGAAGCCCCAGGCAGCCAGTGGAGCTGGGGCGGGGCCCACGGTCCCGAGTTCTGCGCGTCTCTAACCTGCTTCTGTGTGTGACCCACAGCCCGAGACCGAGGATGAGAAGAAGCGCTTCGAGGAAGGCAAAGGGCGGTACCTGCAGATGAAGGCGAAGCGACAGGGCCCAGCGGAGCCTCAGCCTCAGCTGTAGACACTTCCTCCTGCCACTGGGCCCGCAGCGGCCCGGCCTCACCACTTAGAAGTTGCCCCGATGGCCAAAAACCCGATCGCGCTGAGAGCTGGTGTTGTGCGCAGTATTGTCTCACAGTGTTAGCCCGTCCCCCCGGAAACCTCACACCAAAGCTTTATTTATGTCACTCCCGTGCCCGTGCTGCACAGCACCGTCCCTGACCCCCCGAGGCAGTCCCTGGAGCCTGGGGCACAGTCCCGGGGCCTCTGTTTGGTCCGCGAACACTCTGGTGTTGCTAATAAAGCTGCTGTTTGGCTGGACCTCGGTGCTGCGTGGTCTTCTGTCCTGGGAGTCCCCATGGGCCTGCCCCTTCCTGACCCCGCCCCTCTGGCTGCCAGTACCTGCGTGTACCCCAGAACCTCAGGCACAGCAGTGCCCACCCGTGTTTGCCTGACGACTTGCTGACTGGAGGGAGCACCCCTGCCCCCTGGGGCCCCACCCACCCGGTGCCTCACTCGCCCTCTGCCTGGCTGAGGCAGGACAACAGCTCTGAGCCTGTGCGGCCTCCCCCAGGGGGTCGCTGGGGGTGGGCTGCCTGTGAGGGGCAGGGAGACGGTGCACAGAAGGCGTGGGCCCAGCCCAGTGGGGCCTCTTTTGACTAGAAGCGTCCCCCACACCTTGTCTCTCCCCTCAGGAGCAAGAAGCAAGGACTCTGGGCAGGAGCTCCTAGCCGGTGCAGGGGCTGGGGCCCGATGGGAAATTCCCCCCCAGCCATTCCAGCAGAGGGGCTTGTTGGCCTGGCTTGTGGGGGGTGGTCTGAGGGGCAGCGTGTCAGTAAGGCTCGTGGGGGTGTGCGTTTGTGTGCATGTGAGCCCCATCGACATCCGGTCCGGCAGCTTCGAGGCCACCACAGGGGCCAGCCTCACCTACAGCTGAGAAAGACCCCTCCCGGGACAGTGCTGGGAGGATGCTCCCCACTCAGGCTTGTCCCGAAAATAAAGCCTGGAGATGGAGACTGGCTGCCAGCAGCTGCCTCACACGGGCTTCCTCGGGCCGGAGGCGGAGCTCGGCACCAGATGTGCAGAGACCCCCGCCAAGAGCTCTGGAATCTGCCTGGGGCCCCAGTGGCGGCTGGAGGGGTTATTTCCTGCCTGGGAGCAGGAGGAGGGAACAGCTCGCCAAGGAGGCCGCAGCAGCCCCACTGTGCCCCTCGGCTCCCTGGAGGCCTCCCCAGCTCCACCCATGCCCTGTGCCAGCCTTCAGAGACTGGCAGTGCCCAGGGCTGGGAGCAGAGAGGTCTCCCCAGGCAGCCCGGGCCGGCCACACCAAGGCCGGTGGAATCACAGCCTGCTGCATGGGCCCGAGGGTGCCTGAGCTCCAGGACCTCCCGAGGCAGGCAGGCCCCAGGGCACCAGCATCCTCCCTAAGAAGGGCCCTGGCCCGGACTCCCTAGTTCAGCCTTGGCTGGACCACTCCTCTGTGTGGCTTTGGGCAAGTTAGGCACCTAAAGCCCACCTCTCAGGGCAGCTGGGAGGAGCCCAGGCTAGCAAAGCACTTACCCCTCAGGGTCCTGAGCAGGGGCACTCTTAGACGGCAGCGCAGCCAGTGGATGGGCGCTTGAGGCCACAGGCCTGGGGCAGCAGCGTGGCCAGACGCTCTGGTGGCCGCATCTTCTGTTTGCCTTAGAAATGCCACACAAGCTTACCAGCCTCCCACTGCTGATGGCCTATTTATAACTGGGGCCACCAGGACAGGGAGCTGGCCTGTCCTCCCAGGTGCCACACACACACATGCGCACACCCACACACATACACACACGTGTAGTGCATAGCTCCCCCTTCACTGGCCACGCTTCACTGTGCAGCCTCTGCACAGACACCTTCACTTCTGTCTCAGAAGACTGACTCTAAGCTCCCCCCAGCACCGCCCCGGGGCCAGAAGCTGCTCCTCACTCTCCAGCTGCTGGAGGGGTGTGGAGATGGTGTGGGCAAGGCAGGGGCCGGCTACAGAGCAGTGCAGACGGCAGTGGGCGCATTCGGTGGGGTCCTGTCCTGGGCAGGTGCTGCCTTCCCCCAGACACAGGGGTGCCCACTTCCCAGCTGCGTGGGCAGGGCCTTGGGCTCAGGGTGTGGGTGGCCACAGGCTTCCTGGAAGAGGCAGGTGGTGTCCTCTACCTGGATAGGAGGCCAAGATGCCAGTGGCCAGTCTAGTGGCTCAAGAGGTCTCCAGAGGCCCTGTCAAGGGGACTGAGTGTCCCCCCAGATGTCCCCCAGCCTTTGGGTGCCACCCTGTGCCCCCCCCCACACACACAAGAACTGCATGGGCATAGTCCCAGCTTGAGAATATTTCTGAGCGGAACCAGAAAGGGAGACAAGCACCCAGGAGCCCCTGGTCCATTCACCTGATCCCCACAGTCTGAGAATCAGTCTGAACCCTTGGCCGGCCCTGCCCCGCCTCTCCCTGCCCCCGGCCTGGCGGGTTCCTGGAAGGACTCCCCGGTTCCTAGAAGTCGCTCGTTCTCAGGCCCCCACCTCCCGTCTCCACCTCGGCCCACTGTTCACCTTTAGCAGCGGCTTCCTCCAGGAAGGGCCGCCCGAGCCTCCCACCCCTGGTCCCAGGTTCCCACTGGCCATTCCTGTCCCAAGCCCTCTTGGCTCCGGCCCCGGTCATCCCCAAGAGGGGTCGGAGCTGGCGTCTGGAGTGTGGACAGACCCAAGACGGCAGCGAGGGGCCACAGCGTGATCCGGGTGATTTTGGAGGCGCTGGCCTCCCTAGGGCGGCCGGGGTGGGAGGGGCGGTGGACCCCCAGATACTCCGACCGACGGCTGGGGCGGGCCGCGCCTCGGGGGTGGAGGCGCGGCGGTCGGAGGGGAGGCGCGGTGGCGCACGCGGAGGCTGGCGCCCTGCTCCGCCCCCCGCCCCCGGCCGCGGAGCTCAGCCAGCCGGGCGGGCGGCGCGAGCCGAGCGCGGTGGTGACGGCGGCGCGCGCGGGGAGGGAGGAAAAGAGGGAGGGGCGGCGGGGCCGAACCGGGCCGAACGGGCGCGCCGACCACCGGCGGCGGCGGCCAGGATGCTCCGGCCCTCGGGCCGCTCTGCTGCCAGCCATTCGCTCCGTCCCCGGCGACCCGCGCTCGGCCCCAGAGCGCAGGAGCCACAGCCCGAGCCGGAGGCGGGAGCGGCGAGCAGAAGCCCGGGGCGCCCGAACGCGCGGTGAGAGCAGCGCCTCCGGGGCGAGGACTTCTGGGCGGGGAGGGGCTGTCCACGGTCTGTCGCGGCGTCCGTCCCAGGGGCCTCGGGCTCCGCTTAGGGCTGCCACCCCCACCGCACCCCCGACTTGGGGACGTTTGGAGTAACTTCCCCGGGGCTGGTCCCTGCCTTCCTCCCCCAGCCTCCGGGCTTAGCCGCGCCGCCCCAGGGTCTGGCTTTCTCGGGGCGGCGATGGCCATTCTGGGGACGCCCACCCCTGCCCAGCGTAGCCCGCGGGGGCCTCTGGGAACCGCAGTCCCGCCCGCGTCCGGCTCCCCCAGCCGTCACTTAGACGCGCCCTCTGGTCCCGGCAGGGCCGGGGTCCCGCTGGGGCTGGACCGGCAGGCGGGGTCCGGCGGGGGAAGGCCGGGGTCCCGGGTTCTCGAACCCGGGAGCGGGGGCCGTGCGGGTGGGGGGCGTGCCGGGGACTCTGAGGCTTCGAGCCCCGCCCTGGACGGCGGCCGGGCCTTGCCCTCAGGGACAGATCGTGGGTCCTGGGCGGCGCATCCGAGCGCAGCCTGGGGGTAGCGGACCAAGCCCGGGGAATCCTTTCAAGTTCTGGGTCTTCTTTGTTGCGCAATCGAGCCCTGGGGCCGCGCGGACCCATTGGCCGGAGGCCGTGACGTCACGCCAGGGCCCCGCCCACAGACCCTGCGGGTGAGGGGGGGAGTCTTCCGGGCCCGTGGGCCGAGGCCTGTCACCCCTGCATCCTGCTCCTGGACGTTGGGGGCGGGGGTCTCCATCCAGAAAGGCTGTGGGGTCGCGTGGAGTGTGATGCAGGAGAGACTTCCCAGCTGGGGTGGAGATGCCCTGGGGGCGGACCTCAGGGGAGGGAGCCCAGCCTGGGGTCTGGTCCCAGGTGCGCGCTGTCGTGAGGAAGGAACAGCAGGTGTGGTCTGCGGGTCACCATCCTGCAGGAGGCGGGAGCCCGTCTCCCACAGACCCAGCCCTTTGCACTCTGAGTTTGGAGACCTTGGTATACACACTCCCCAGGCTCACTCCAGTGACGTTCGTCTCCCACCCCAGAACCACCACGCTCAGGGGCTGGGCCGTAAACCTGCCCGCACTTCCCTCCACGTTCTGCGCTGGGCTCCGCACCTCAGTGTTCCTCTCCGTGGTGTGGGGACAGTCGGTCCCACCCTGAATGGGTGGGAGGCTCAGAAAGACCGTCTTAGCTAGAAGAGCAAAAAAGGCTTTGTTCCCGAGCATTTGGGGGTTGAGAGACCAGGGGGCTGGTTTGTCTGTTTGTATCCTCGCTCAGGCATATGATAGCTTGGGCAAATGGTTTAGCTTTTCTCTGCCTCTACTTGACCACATTTAAAATCGGGATGGGGACATTGTCCGACACACGAGATCCCTGGGGATGCTGAGGGCAGTGTGCCGGTTCAGGGACACTTCCTCCCTCCACGCAGGGCATGACCTCAGGCCTGAGGACCTAACGCCTTGTCCTGCAGGGAGGCGCCAGACGCTAAGGGAGGAGATCACCTGGCACCTGAGAGGTTGTGCCAGTGGCAGCCCATGGCTCCTCTCCCCCCACCCCACCCCCCACGCCAGGGTCATGGGTCGTGACCCTGCTGGGGCATCTCAGGGAAGGTCTCCCCATCTGCTGGCTGAGGCGGCCCAGGGCAGGTGGAAAAAGATGCTGGCCCCAAGGTGCATGCTGAATCCAGCGTCCTATTGGATAACAAGGATCACTGGTGTCTGCAGCCTTCAGCCCACAGGGTCCCCCTTACTGTGCCTGTCCCGGACCCCTGGCAGGCTGCCAGGGACCCTATGGGGCTGGGGCAGCCCCGTGGCCTCCTCACCCCCAAAGCTGAGCTGTTCCGAGTGCTTGCTGGCCAGGGAGACTGTGTCCGCTGGCAGGTCCGAGGTTCACCCACAAGTCCAAGGGGCGCCTCGGCCCTTGAGAGGCAGCGTAGCTCCTCGGGCTGGGAGGACTTTAGTGCAGACACCCACCTGACAAACCCAAGGCTCGCACTCAGTGTGTGCCGGCCCCATTCATTCTAAGCACTGCCCCGGCCGAACCTACTGAGGAGCTGCAGTGGGTGTACGTTATCATGTCCCACTTGCGGAGAAGAGAGACGAGGCCCAGTGGAGTCAGGTCACGGGCCAGCAGGGGTGCGGGGGGGCTAGCTGGAGCCCAGCAGTTCTCATCCCACAGGGTGTGACCTGGGTAGGCTGAGGCAGGGGCGCCTGAGGGACACCAGAATGGAGGGTTGGCGGGTCCGACAGGGCCACCCCACCTCCCACACTGGGTCTGGGGTGGGGAAAGGAAGGCCACTCTGCAAGCAGAAGCCTCATGTTTGAGAAGGAGGTCCTTGGCCCCAGAAGTCCCCCGAGCTCCTGAGGAGGCCTTAAGGAGCATCAATGTGCTCCAGAGTGGACTCCTCCGTGGGCCAGGTGTCTGGGCGGGCCCCCAGCCGAGACGTTGAGATGAGTGAGACACGCCCCTCAGAGGCCCCTCGGCATCCAGGGGTTCAGCCCACAGGCAGACCAAAGGACCTCGGGCAAGACGAGCTTAGGGGCCTGGCTATGCTGGGAGGTGCTGAGTCCTCTGCCCCGAGCACCAGGGTCCTGCGGTGGCCTGTCCCCCCACAGCTGGAAACAGTCCCCGAGGAATCACGTGGCCACCACTCAGGTTGGAACAGAAGCGCAGCCAGTGAGATTCAACAGGCCCCTGGGTGAGAAGGGCCAAGTGCAGGCAGAGCGCACAGTGGGCCTTCACTCAGCATCTCCCCACACTGACTGAGCCAGGCTGGCTAGAGGGGCCTGTCGTGGGGGCCCCACCTCAGAGGGAGTGGCTCCCAGTCCCCACAGGAGGCAGCTGAGGGCAGCCAGGCTGGGAAATGGGAGCGGGCACTCACTGTCCGGCCTTCCAGCAGGCTGGGTGCCCCCCCAACATGCGCCTCCTGCCCAGCACCCTTGGCCGGCTGGCTGCCGGCAGTCCTCCTTGGGTCGAGGTCAGGCCCCTGGGCTGTGCCTGGGAGGAGCGCCAGTGACACCCAAGACTCAGGCAGCAACATGCTCAGCACCACCCAGAGCACCCACTGTGTGTGAGACCCATCCACCCCGCGGCCCCAAAAGGAGAATCCCCCGCCCAGGACAGCACAGCACGAAAGCACAGGGACCCTGCGTGGACCGAGCAGCTAGAACACTTGGAGCCTCAGCACAGGGGATGCAGGAGGCCAGCGGGGGGCTGCCCTTTCCAGGATGGGTATGACAGTGGTCGTCGTGAGCCCTGCCTCACAGCAGGGGCTAGGGGGCTCATCCTCCCAGGCACACCCTCATTTGCCCAATGAAGTGGGACAAACTACAGTGAGGGCCCCCGGGATGCCCTGGGGGCGCCTTCCACGGGCCAGCCTGGGGGGTGGGAGCATGTGCCAGTGACCGGGCTTGTGGCGGGTCAGGGCCCAGGCCAGCGACACAAGGCCTATCTGGGCCCAGCCTGGCTGGTTCCCTGAAGGCGCAGGTTGCACGTCTGGACCAGGCAGGGGTGGAAGGGAGGGAACGCACTTTCCCTGAGACGCCGGGGGCCTGGACAGGTCACAGAGTGGAGCAGCCCCGCCCCCGGCAGAGCCAGATGGGAGACAGCATCCTGGGGGATCCTGCCCATGCCCCACCCCCAGGGGCTCCGAAGCTGGAACAGGAGGCCATCACTGAGCTCTCTTTGGCTTCTCACCCACTGCAGATGACCGCGGCCCCAGGCGTCCCTGGGCCACGGGGTGCGAGCGCTGCTGCTCCGAGCCTTGGCCTGGCTCGGAGGAGGATGCCCCAGCCGCCTGCGGGCTCCAGTCTGCACCATGAGTGATGAGCGGCGGCCGCCTGGCAGCGCCGTGGGCTGGCTGGCGTGCGGGGGCCTCTCCCTGCTGGCCAACGCCTGGGGCATCCTCAGCGTGGGCGCCAAGCAGAAGAAGTGGAAGCCTCTCGAGTTCCTGCTGTGCACGCTTGCGGCCACCCACATGCTCAACGTGGCGGTGCCCATCGCCACCTACGCTGCGGTGCAGCTGCGGCGGCAGCGCGCCGACTACGAGTGGAGCGAGGGCCTCTGCAAGGTCTTCGTCTCCGCCTTCTACACCCTCACCCTGGCCACCTGCTTCTCCGTCACCTCCCTGTCCTACCACCGCATGTGGATGGTCCGCTGGCCCGTCAACTACCGGTGAGCTCCCGGCACCTGATCGGCTGCCGTCCTCGGAGAGGGGCCTGTGGGCATGAACATAAAGACCACCTGCTGTGGCTGACCCGTGTTCTGGTGGGGACAACGCCCTGTGGGGGGGGGGTGCCACACCCGTGCTGTGCTGGGGGCCAGCAGGGAGGCTCAGGAGGGCGGCTCTGGGCTGCAGGGGCACACACACGTGGGGATGCCTGGGCGGGCAGTGTCCACTCCAGAAATGCTTGACAAGAAAGACATGTCACAATGTGCATGAGTGTCCCTTGGGCAAGGGACAAAGCCCACCATGCTGGTTGTGGCACGGCTGTGATGTACTGAGGGCCAGGGCAGCCGCAGATCCTCGGCAGGTCCCCAGGGGCCTGTGGGGACCCTGTGAGTGACACTGGGTCCCTCTGTCCTCCCCCCACCCCATGCCAGGCTGAGCAATGCCAAGAAGCAGGCGGTGCACACGGTCATGGGCATCTGGACGGTGTCCTTCCTCCTGTCGGCCCTGCCCGCCGTCGGCTGGCACGACACGAGCGAGCGCTTCTATGCCCACGGCTGCCGCTTCATCGTGGCTGAGATCGGCCTGGGCTTTGGCGTCTGCTTCCTGCTGCTGGTTGGAGGCAGCGTGGCCATGGGTGTGGTCTGCACGGCCATCGCCCTCTTCCAGACGCTAGCTGGGCAGGGTGGGCGCCGGGCGGACCGCCGTGCCTTCACGGTGCCCACCATCGTGGTGGAGGACGCACAGGGCAAGCGCCGCTCCTCCATCGATGGCTCCGAGCCTGCCAAGACCTCGCTGCAGATCACAGGCCTGGTGGCCACCATCGTCTTCATCTACGCCTGCTTCATGGGCTTCCCCGTGCTGGTGGGTGAGCCCGTGGGGGGCCGCGGGTTCCGGGACGGCCCGGGGTGGGCACACAGCAGGCAGTGGGTGTTTGCATCCTTGCGCCCGACCTTTTTTTTTTTATATATTCTATTTATTTATTTTTAGAGAGGGGAGAAGGGAGGGAGAAAGAGAAGGAGAGAAACATCAATGTGTGGTTGCCTCTCACATACCCCCTACTGGGGACCTGGCCCCACAACCCAGGCATGTGCTCTGACTGAGAATTGAACCGGCGACCCTTTGATTCACAGGCCAGCACTCAGTCCACTGAGCCACACCAGCCAGTCACACCCAGTCTTTTAAGGGGGGCATTATCCACATCCCCATTTTACAGGCTTGGAAACCAAGGTTCAGAGAGGTAAATGAGCGGCCCAAAGTCAGGGTAGCCACAGTGGGACTTGAACCCACCTCAGGTGACTTCGCAGCCCAGGGTCTTTCTGCCACACTGCAAGGGGACTCTCTTCCCTGAGTGAGGCCCATGCAATGCAGAGGGGACAGAGGTGTCCACGGCTTCCTGGTGGGTGCAGGTCCTAGGACGCACAGAGTGGGCCTTGCTGTGGCAGAGTCGGCTTTGGTCCTGAGTTGGGAGGCAGGGCAGGCTCTGACTGTCTGCTGGGCAGTCAGACTTGATCTCAGGGCCTGAGGAAGGTCAAGCTGAGGGCTGGTCTGAGGAAGGCCTTGCCGACAGGGTCCAAGGTTTAGCGAGGCTACCTGGGCTGCTGCCAGTGAGGCCAGACTGGGGCCTGGCCCAAGAATGAGGTCTGGACCCAGTAGCCAAGCCATCCCACCCATGGGTCTCCAGCCCAGCCCCTTGGAGGGTCTGGAGCAGGACAGAGAGGGGTGCAGGGACAAGGACCAGCCAGAGAAAGGCTTCACCCAAGCAGCCGAGTAGGGCTGTGTCCCTGGAGACATTGTAGGACAGGAGTCCCCAACTCCTGGGCCACAGATCGGTGCTGGTCCCTGGCCTGCCAGGGACTGGGTGGCACACAGGAGGTGAGCGGGCTCCTTTCTCCCCCCACCCTCCCGTCCGTGGAAGAACTGTCTTCCACAGAATTGATCCCGGTGCCGAAAATGTTGGGGACCGCTGCCGTAGGACACACGCTCAAGAAGCTGAGTATGGGGTGGCAGCCTCCAGTCGGGCACGCAGCTCCCAGCCACCCGCGGCTCCATGTTTGGTGGGCCCAGGATCCCCCAGTATGGATGGGGTCCTCTGTGTGCAGTGGGCCCCGGCGCCCCCATCCCTGTGTGAAGGAGGGAAAGGAGGGATTATGAAATCTCGCCCCCCCCGGGTTCTCTTCAGGGCAGGAATGGGGGGCGTTCACGGAGCCCACTCCGCACTGCGGGCCTGGTGCAGCGTCGGGAATCTCGGCCTTGCCCTGTGGGGAGTTCTTAGCGCATGTCTCAGGGGAAGAAACTGAGTCCCAGACACTCGGCACCTTCCTGAGGGGCCCGCAGCCCGTGCACAGAACCTCTCTGATGTCCTCTCTGATGGGGTGGCAGGGAGAGGGGGAGGCACCCTGGGCAGTGACCCCAAGGCCACCTGGCTGGACCCTCTGATCCTCAGACACTGCTCTGTTCTTCTCTGGGGTCCCGGGCCTAGGCCCACAGAGGGGGCAGGGCCGAGGAGGGGTCTGGGAGGCCTGAGCCCTGGTTCTTCGTCCCTCAAAGGGACGGTGATCCATGCCCACCTCTGTCCTCAGGCAGTCCTGCGGGTGACAGGAGGGATGGCACACTAGTGCCGCCAGGAACACTGCAACAGGCTTTGCATGCTTGGGGCTGGACCTTCCCTGGGCAGCCAGCTCTCTGTGGGCAGGGGCTGCTACACCAAGCTCTGGCCCTTTCTCACCCGAGCCTGGGGCTCAGTCTACTGCCGCCAGCCCCTCCACTGGTGGGCGGGCAGTCAGACCTGCCACGCAGACGGTGGCAGGACGGAGTCGGGGAGGGGGAGCCATGCGATGGGGTCCTGCCGGGTGCCAGGCGGGGTGCTGTGCCCACAGGTGGTGAGCTTCAGCAGCCTGCGGGCGGATGCCTCGGCGCCCTGGATGGCGCTGTGTGTGCTGTGGTGCTCGGTGACCCAGGCCCTCCTGCTGCCCATGTTCCTCTGGGCCTGCGACCGCTACCGGGCCGACCTCAAGGCCGTCTGGGAGAAGTGCGTGGCCCTCATGGCCAACGACGAGGATTCAGACGATGGTGAGGATGCCCTGAGACAAGCCCCTGGGGACAGGGGTCTCTGGGGGAGGTCATTGGAGTCACTGGGATAACAGCTGCAAGGTGACCACCCCATGGCACTGAGGTGATGCTCACTGTCAACTGCCAAACACCCCCTGTACCCCCTCCACATGTGCTGGAACCCCTAAGGGGCCATGGTGTCCCATGGAGTGCCCTCCTGTCCCACTTGCTGCCCTGGATGGCAGCTGTGGACAACGGATGGCATGTGTTCGAGCTTCCGACCTCGGGGGTCCCGATGGCTCCTGCAGACCTGGGTCCCATCTCCCCCAGCACTCATGGTGTCCCCCTAAGCTGAGACCTGGCTGCGTGCCAGGCACTGCCGCCCCTTGTGTGCATTTAGTTTCCTCACAAGGTAACTTCAGGCCACACCCCTGCTGACAGGGGAATTGGCTGCAGGGGTGACCTCCCCAGTCCCAAAGCTAAAAGGTGGCAGAGTCAGGATTTGAACCCAGAACCCAGCCCTTCCTTGTTTCCAGTAACTGACCCTCTGCCCTGTGCATGTCTGTGGGGGCCCTTGGAGTCACTCTGGGGTGCCCCCAAGTTTCTGGAGCTGTAAGATTCTGCCCCGCCTTGCAGATGCCAGCCTGGAGGGTGGCGGTGTGCCCCCAGACCTGGCACTGGAGCGTTCCCTTGACTACAGCTATGGAGGTGACTTTGTGGCCCTGGACAGGATGGTCAACTATGAGCTGTCCCTGGAGGGGGGCCTGCCCCAGACCTACCCACTGGGGCCCTTGCAGGAGGACAAGATGCAGTACCTCCAGGTAGGAACGGGGCGGGGCTCAGAATGCGGGGTGAGGGGCATCCTGACCTCCAGGCCCGGGCCCTCTGAGCCTGGCTTTCACTCTCCTTAATGGGCTGGCCCCATATGCGGAGCCTGTGCAAGTGGGACACCATTCCCCGTCCCAGCGTTCCCTTGTGCGTTCCCTGGGAGAGCGGTGCATCTGGCGTCTGTTATTTCCTTGGGGCTCAGCACCCCACTCAAGGGGTCTTCTCCCCAACCGCAGATGACAACACTGAGTCTTGGTGAGACTGACACTCGCCCCTAATAGAACCGGGGTGCTCAGCCCCAGGCGTCGTTCATGATCCACAAGCCACCCGGCCCCCGGTGGGGAGGCGTGGGTCCCTATTTTCCAGGAGGGCAGCCTTGGTTAACCCCGCCGGTCCTGACAGGTCCCGCCCACGCGACGTTTCTCGCACGAAGATGCAGACCTGTGGGCCGCGGTCCCGCTGCCCACCGTCCTGCCTCGCTGGGGCTCCGGCGAGGACCTGGCCGCCCTGGTGCTGCCCGCCGGGCCCGACCGGCGCCACGACAGCCTGCTGCCCTTCGCGGGGGATGCGCCCCCTTTCCGTCCGCGCCGCCGCTCGGCCGAGAGCCTGCTGCTGCTGCGCCCCGAGGCCCGCAGCTCGCCCACCAGCAGCCCGCGCTGCCGCCCGGGGCCTGGCGCCCGCTCCGCCTCCGCCTCGCTGCTGCCTGACGCCTTCGCGCTGACCGCCTTCGAGCGCGAGCCGCAGGCGCTGGGCCGCCCGCCCGCCCCGCCGGCGCTCTTCCCGGCGCGTGTCCCGAGCGCCGCGGACCCCGCCCAGCCCTGCGAGGACGCGGCGCCCCCTGGCGGTGCCGGGGAGCAGTGGAGCCCCGGGCCGCGCCCGGCGGCGCAGGCGCAGGCGCACGCGCACGCGCACGCGCGACCCCTGAAGACCGCCCTGAGCGCGTCCTGGGGCGAGCCCGCGGACTTGCGTGTGGCAGGCGGCGGTGCGGGCAGCACAAGCAGCTTCCTGAGCTCGCCGTCAGAGTCCTCGGGCTACGTGACGCTGCACTCGGACTCGCTGGGTTCGGCGAGCTAGGGGCCGCCCGCGGGCCGAAGCACCAAAGATGCCAGCTGCCCAGCGGGGCTCAGGGCAGGACGGCTCTGAGCTCGTCCAGGACGCCAGGATGAGCGCCAGCCCTCCTGGGGCGGCGGGACGCGACAACTTCGCCCGAGAAGCAGGCATTGCCTGGAGGGGCGACGGCTGCCCTGACAACTGCATTGGGCACTTCATCTCTGAGCGATGCAGAGTGAGGCTGAACTTGGGTAGAGGAGGGCTGTGCACGTGCGCAGCTCGGAACAGCTGGGCTGGGGCGGGGGATCCCCGGGACAGGGCCACCACCGGGTGGAACAAAGCCAGGCTCTGCGGGAGGGGAAGTCGCTGGACTGCGCCCGGCTTTGCACTCAGCACCAGAACCATCTCACCTCAGGGGTGGAATGCGGAGGATCTAAGCACAGGGGCCTTCAGAGCCCAAACGAGTTCTCAGAGAGGTCTCCCCGCAGACCCGTTCTGCCTCTGTTTTCCCATCTGTGACGAGCAGGTGGCCGTGTTAACTCTCAGGACTGAAGACGTCTGCTAGTCCAAGTGCCCTGGCCGCTGAGTGGACACTATATCCACCTTGACCACACTATTAGTGCCCTCACTCTCATTACTTCTCATTGCCTGTCCCCACCGCGTTGGCCACCTCCGGGACTCCTCCAACCCTGAGGGTCATGGGTACGTGGTGGGAATGACTGAAGCAAAGAGAGCGGGCTTCCTTTTTCTGGTACCCATCCCCAGCTTCTGCCAGACACTGCAGGCCTGGCTGGAAGGGACCCTGACCTACAACCTCCCGGGCTCTGAGTTGAAGGTCTGGTTTCTGGCCAGCATGCTCCCCCACCCTGTGAGCAGGGATCTTCTTTACTGTCCCTCTTGGCAGTCCCCCATGCCAAGCTCCCCATGGGGGAGCTGACTGTCCCCCAACAGTTCTGGGCTTTGCCATGGGCCCTGGAGAGGAGCTTGCTGGGCCTTCTGTGGGGGAAACCCCTAGACACAGGCTGAGAGGCCCAGGAACAGCTGAGTCGGCGGGACAGGGCAAGTACAGAGGCTGTCCTGTCCAAACCTCTGCCTCCGTGCAGTAGTCCCGAAACAGGAAGCTCTGGAGCAGGCCCAGGGGCCTGTCCACTGCTCCCTCCCGCTCTGCCTATTCTGCCAGGGTCCAAGCCCTTCTCCTCACCCCTTGGACTGGGTCCCAGCCGCAGAAGAGGCCCCTGGGAAGGGAAAGGATGCACTGCCTGGCTCCATCTCTGCTGTGGAGGCCCCTGCAGTGCCAGGCCCCAGGGTACCCTAGGGGATGGGCTGGCCTCAGGGGAGCAAGGTACGGGACTGCAGTGCAGCTTAGCCAGCAGTGCTGTGCCTTCCAGGACCGATACAATATGCCATGAGGTCACTAGCTAGCCACGGTCCCCCCTCAGGCTGGCCCACTGGGGTTTCCCTCTTTCATATCCAAGGGCAATTCATGCAAGGGGACACGGTACCCTGAAGTCCCTCTGATTGTGGTTTTTACAAAATAAAGAGCAGGGAGGACCCCAAGCAGAGGACCCTGGGGCCCCTCTCACACTCTGTGCAGCTTCCAGGCCCACTGGCTGCGCTGACAAGCAGCTTGACCCTGGGCTCAGTGGGGAGGGAGTTCTGTCTTCTTACCACCACCCAGCCCAAAGCCAGGGATCCGTTTGTAGTTTTTACGACAACTAGGCAGTTCTCCTCTGTACAGAATCCAATAAAAACTTCCTATAATTTGCACCTAGCACTTCAAGCCTGGTTTCATGGTAACACCTTTCTAGAACCTGACAGCACCCCTGGCCAGCTGCCCCCAGTTGTCTCTTCCTCTGGGCCCTACATTCCTCTACGAGCACCCTATTCCTTTGGGTTGGACTCGCTCTTCTCTTCTGGCTGGTGCTTGGGTCCCGAGCACAGAGTTTGATAGGCCTGGAGCAGTGGGGTGGGCACCAAGGTCCTGACAGCAGGCGGAGAAGCCCTGCCCCGGGATGGCCTCAGACACCGCTGGCCCCGGTGAGGTCGATCCGGGAGCGCGACCAGGGCAAGACAGTTGGAGCCGGAAGTCCCTGGGTCTGCGGTACCCTGTGACCACCATGGGTCTGCAGTGCGAGATCGCCACCTGGTGCCCAGAAGACATATTAGAGTCGCCCCCTCACTGCCCCAACACACACCTAGGGCTGCGAGGTGCCCAGGCGGCAGCGAAACGGCGACGCACCCTCTCCCTGCCTGCGCAGGAGAGCCCGCCGCTCTCTCCCTGCGGTCTTACCAACAGTGTGGGTTTAGTGTGCAAGCAGGACTGGAGCGGCTCAAAATGACAGTTTCAAAAAATTTATTGATTTTAGAGACAGGGAAAACATCATCTGTAGTTCCACTTATGCATTCTTTGGTTGATTCTTGTACGTGACCTGATGGGGACCCAACCTGCAACCTCAGCCTATTGGGATGACACTCCTAACTCTTTGAGCAAAATGAGAAGAAATGTTTCAGACGAAGTTAGTCTCCCTAGTTCAAAAAGATGCACTGAAGTAGGCATCGTGGAACGAAACAACCGTCCTCGGTTTTTTATACCCATTTCACAGATTTGCACTGCCTTTATTCTGAATCTCAAGATGCTGGGAGGAGGGGCTAAAATCCCTTCCTGGGCACAACGCAGGAATCCCACCGGTCCCCTCCTCGGCTCTTCCTTGAGTGCCGGGAGGGACCCCCGAAATGGGCGCCCGGCACTCCGAGGGCTGTGCAGTGTAGTGGGCCCCAGAAACCGGGAGGCAGGGGCTCTGCGTAGCCGGTCTCGGGCTTTGGCGAGTGGGAAGAAGCGAACTCTCCCACGAGAGGAGCTCGGCTTCACTCCAGCAGCCCTCAGGCTGGCGTGACGGTGCTCGCCCCCCGCCCCCAAGAGCCGCGGGGCTCGGCGCCAGGTGCACCGGGAGGTGTTCGCATAGGGAGGGTGAGCTCCGGCGGGCCGCGGGGCAGGGGCAACTCGGGGCGGTGCTTCTTAGAGTGGCGGGCCTCGGAGCGCGGGCTTAGGCGAGGATGCTGCGCCGCGTGCGGAGGGGGTGGGATCCCTGGAAGCCGAGAGGGTCCAGGGTGGGGGTGAGCCGGGGGCCCCTCGCCCTGGAGGCGGGCCCGGCGTGCTTTGTGCCGGTGGGAACCGGGCGTCCCTGGCCGGTTGAATGGGCCGGGGCGGGGCAGCGATTCTCCTCGCTGCGAGGGGTCTCCTCTGCGCCGCTGTGGCTGCGACCTTCCCACCGCCGCGCGGCTGCGGGGCGGGGGCGAGGGCGAGGGCGGGCTGCCCGCCCAGGGCCTTGGGAAAAAGGCGCAGCCCAGGACCTCCCTCCCAGCCCCTTTAGAGGTGAGAGGAGGCCAGAGCCCGTCCAGCCGGAGTGGGTGGGGGTGAATTAGGCCTGGAGAACAACCCGGGGCGCGGCGTCTGCGCGAATTTCCCTGCGGGCACCGGGCACCCTCTGGCCACCTTCACCTCGGGACCAGGCCCGGCGTTAGAGGTCCCGGCCGACCTCACGGTGGCGCTCAAAACTGCGCCCGCACAGCAGATGGGGGCCCGCTTGAGTCCGAGGCCACCCCTGGGCCTCACCAGGGCCGCCACAGGCGCAACCCCGAGCCCGGGCTCTCGGCGCAGTGGCCGGACGCCGACTGCGGGGCCGAGACGCTGGGGAACGGGCCGGGGAGAGCGGCGCGGGGGAGGAGCCCGGGTGCTGGGGACCGCGAGCCGCCGGAGGCGGAATCCGACACCCAGACGGCGGGGGCGCCGGGGCTGCGGCGCGCGGGCGCCTCGGAGCCGGGAGTGGCGCTGTCCGTGGTGCTGCCTCCCTTGTCCTCGTGCGCCGGGGGGCAGCGCAGGCCGCAGCCGCCGCCCTCTTCTCCGCGCTGCAGAAGCTGCCTGGCTCCCGGCAGACAGCCTCGGAAGCCCGACGGGTGCTGGGCTCCGCTTGGGACCGGCCAGAGCCCTGCGGGGAGGGAGAAATGCGGAGGGTAGGGCAGAGTAGAAGCGGGGAAGAGAAGAGGAGAAGACACAGAGGGGAGAAGGGTGGAGGGGAAAGAGAAGGGAGGGGAGGGGAGGAACCTGAACGCTGCCGGGGAGCCAGACCTTCTTCCCCCCGGGTTACAGCTCCACAGACTGCGGGGCCTCGGCTGCCTCCCTCCTCCAGTGACCCGGGACCCCCCTCACCCAGCTGCCCACTGCCCTGTGCTGCCTTCCCCGTCCATCCCTCCTTTATCTGGCCTTATGCATGGCTCTGACCTCACAAGGCCTGCCACCCCCCCCCCCACCTTCAGGGGTAGAGTGCCTTCAGGGCCCACCTCTACCTTGCAGCGAGCTCTGAAGGCTGTTCATGTACTTGACACTCAGCTCCAGTATGTCTGCCTTCTCCAGCTTGCGTTTCTGGATCTGCGGGTGGTGGAGAGGGTTCTCAGCTGGGGCGCCGGGGTTGGGGGAGACCAGGCGGATCGCCTCGCCCACCACCACACCCCCGGGGCCCACCTGGTGCGGGTAGTGCTTCTCCAGAAACGACCTGAGTTGCTCCAGCGACACGTTGATGCGTGCCCGGCGCTTCTTCTCCATCAGCGGCTTGGAGATCTGGGGACGAAAGGTTGTTAGAGGGCAGGGCCACCGCCCTCCGGGCCTTCACCCCCGCCAGCCTGGCAGGGCCCCCACCCTGAGCCCACCCAGACCTTCCGAAATCTGGCCGCAGGGCCGCTGGAGCTGCCCCGGGTCTCAGGCTCAGCGCCCATGTTTTGGTCTCCGCACTCTCCGGCGGCCCCACAGCCTTTATAGGGGCCCCTCGTTTACATGTCAATGAGATGATCCTGGACTCCAGGAATTCTGAAGAGGAGGGGACCAGGGGGGACACACCGGTAAATTCCCCACCTCCCTTTCATAGCCCAGGACATGGCCTCCCTCTCTCCCACCCGAGAGAGAGCGACCCCTTCAACCCTTTCTCAGCCTTTTCTTTATCCCTCTCACCCCCATCACGTCCCGAGGCTGGGGCCCTGTCCTAGGCCCACCCCTTCCAGGCCTGTCCCATCCCAGCGTCCCTAGGTTCTGGGCCTCAGCACCAGGCCCACTTGCCTAGGCCTTGCTGCTCTTATCTCCGAGGGTTCTCCGGGGCACCCACCGGGGTGTTCCAGCGTCAATCCCTGCTAATGGCCGTGACAGAGCACCAGGCCTCTGCTGGCCTGATGAAGATGAGGAGGCGGCAAGCACCCACCAGCGAAGGCTCCCTGCAGGTGTCATGCTCTGTCCAGCCTGGCAACACCACATCACTGGCCCTAATGGAGGGACAATGTAGCAATTTTCTGCCTGTGGCTGCTCAAAGCCAGGCGCAGCCTGGGCCCGGGGAGCCACACAGCGACATGTGTCCCATTAAAGCATGCAGCCCGCCCGCAGGGCTGCAGCCTGCCTCCTCCTTGCTGGTGCCCCCGGACGAGGGGCACTCCTGTGCCGGGGCGCAGCCCGGGCTCAGGTGCCCTCCGACTTTGTTAGGGACCACAGTCTTCCGAGGGGGCAGGAGGACACGCAGGCAGCCTCGGGCCAGGGGGAGTCAGAACAGCCTTCCCCACCTGTCCCGGGCTTCCAGCCAGTGCCGGGGGGCCAACTCAGGCTCTGGGAGTGCTTTCCCGGGGAGTCTGTCTCCAAAGGCCTTCCCTGGGTCCCTGCGAATGGGGGGAGAGGGTGAAAGACTTGGGAGAGCATCATTCGGCGCTTTTGGAGGTCTGGGGCCCGAACCTCTTCTCATATTCTGGCTGTAGCTGGAGACCCCGGAAGCCTAGGGGAGGAGGCGCCTGCCCTGGAGCAGCTCGGCCCCAGGAGCGGGACTCCGGCAGCCGTGACTGACGTCCAGGGGAGACCCTGGGCTCAAACCCACACATCTCCCTGTACTGGACGCCCATAGCCTCGGTTTCCATGTTTGTGAAGTGGGGTTCTGGGCAATGCGTGTCCTGGCAGCTGCTTTCGAGGGCGAGGGGGAAGTCGTATGGACGCAGAAGTCCCCAGTGGAGCCCTGCGGCAGAGAAATGAACAAATTGGCCTTCGAGGGCCGCAGCGTGAGGCGGAGGGGAAATGGCTAGGCTCTGGGTGGGCCTCCCACTGTCCCTCCAGAGGGGGTGTCTCTTCCCTCCCTGCCCTCTTGAAGCGCCCTGCGGGGGCAGCGTGGTCCCCAAGCGCCCAGCAGCGCAGAGAGCGGCGCCCCACCTTCCTTTCAGGCTGAAGTTGGGGCGACAGCGGTCCGGGGCGCTCTTCCTCCCGGGCTGCAGAGCCCGCGGGCCAGATCCGGGCCCGGCCGGGGGCGCGCGACAGCGGGAGGCCGGACGGACGGCGCTGGCACGCGCCAGGCAGCTGTGAAGCGCCAGGGCCGGCAGGGCCCGAGCCGCGTGGACGCACTGGCTCTGGCTCGGGGCCGCGTACAAAGGCGCCAAAGGAGCGGCGGGGGCGGGCGGACGCGCAGCCCGGCACAAAGGAGGCAGCCGAGTGTTAAGGGCATTGTGCCCGCCCCACAAAGCGGCGCCGGCACCCGCCCCCTGGGGCCCAGCTCCGGGCGCCCTGGGGCGCGCAGGCTTCCCGCTGCAGCTCGTTTGCACCGAGGCCGGCGCGCGCCCAGCTCTGGCGGCGCCCCCCACCCCGCCTCCGCTCTGGAGCGGCGCGGGCAGCGGGGCAATTTGTCCTCTAATTACCGCCCCTCCCCATAAACCGCCGCCCGCGCCTTTCAACTCCGGCGAATTAGCAAACCAATGGCCCTCTGCGCGGCTCTCGCGGCCCGCAGCGGGAGCGCGGGGCCAGCCCCCTCTCCGGAGTCGGGGCCACCGTAAAGGGGCCCGCGGGCCGCTCCCAACTGCACGCCGGACCGCCCGCAGCTCCTCGGGCCGCCGCTGCTCTGGAGCCGGTGCCCAGGGATCCCGGCCGCGCGGGGTGTGGCCGCTCACGTGGGTGGCTTAGTGTTTCTTAAGCAGTGGAAAATTGACCGCAAAATGCTCTAATTCGCAATGTTCTGCTTGGGCTGTGGGAGGCCAGGCTGGCCGGGCTGCGTGCTCCGCGGTCCAGCTCCGCCCCCGCCCTCTTCTGGAGCCTCCGCCTGCGCCTCCGCACGTCCTCACAGCGGTGTCCCCAGCTAGGTTGAGTGCCTCGCCCCATTTTCCAAGCTTCTCCTCACCTGGAGTGACCCCACCCTGCCACGAATCTCGCCTTAAGCTGACTGAGGGTCGCACCGAACTCGCGGCTCAAAGGGGTCCCACCCTCCCTTTTCCCCGAGCTCGAAAACAGCTTCTTCCCCACCGCATCCCCACGCGACCCCAATTCTGGCTCCTTCTGGGCAGCCACCTCCCCCACTAAAGTTAAAGGCGAGGGCCTTGGAGAAGATAGTGGATAAGTCTCCACGGAGATCCTTCTAGGGGGCCCAGGCTGGGGACCCAATTCCGCCTCCTCTCCCGCGCCGTTGGCCAGTCCTGCATCTGGGCATCTGCAGCCGCTCGGGCAGGGCAGGCCAGGCCCCCAAGGTGCTCCAGGGCCGGGGAGGCGTTCTCCGAAGTGAAGGTGCAGCACGAGCTCACCCCGGGTCCTCTCTGGCAGCACTCAGGATGAAGGGCTTTGCGAGCTGGCGCTGACGGGGAGGGCAGGGACCTGCTCAGAGGCCGGGCTTATGCAAGCTGAGATGTAGGCCAGCGACGCCCTTTCCATCTTTAGGATCTGGGGTCCCCAGGGTGCTTGGAAAGGAGCACAAGTCCCGGCAGAGCGCTGGGGCGACCGAGGCCGCCCTTGCTCATCCTGGGACAAATACCTCCTCTAACTCCGGAGGGCACTGGGGGCTGCCAGGGCTGCTCAGCACCCTCTGCTTTCTCATGCCCAGGAGTTTAAGGCAAAGAGTAGCTTGTGTCATTGCCCTCCCTTCTTCCCTTTGACTTTCTTGACCTTGGCAAAACTCTCTCTCACACACACACACACACACACACACACACACACACACGCATTATACATCGATTCAAGTCAGGAAAGGAGGTGGGGAGAGCATTTGCAGGCCTCGAGACTGTCCGCCAGCCATCTCAGGTGGCAGGCCGGGGCAGCCTCTCCCCCTCGTGGGGGAGTCCTGGGCCTTGAAAGCAGCTCTCACTGGGGAGTGGCGTGAGGCTACTCAAAGTGTGGCGACTGGCGGGAGAAAGGCACAGTCCCCCTCCGCAGATGCATTTCAAAGTGGAATGGAGTGATTGCTCCATGTAATTAACTATTGGGACACGGCGAAAGCACTGGAATGACCCAGCCGATTGTCTCCAGATGGGGTCGGAGAGGCTGAGATTGTTTAACTCTCTTTAGCAGTGTTGGATTCCGAATAGCTCAGCAGCCCAGGGTCCTCCAGGGGACAAAGGCTGGGACTCCGGTGAGTGCATCAACACTGCACGGGGCTGGCCCCGCTCCGGGAGAGCGAATTCAGAGAGACCCCCATTGTCCCAGACTTTTGTGTTTCTCCCCAGCTGGCTCTAATCTTTAAATATTTACCCGGCTGCTTTGTGCTCATGTGACTTATGCACTTTGGGCTGCCTGCTCATAAATTACGCGTCATTTACCCATTTCCAGACTAGAGAGAGGAGGCTTTAATGCCTGGAGCCCAGAATGGCCCTGGGAGGGAAAAGAACACTTTTGGAGGACCAGGTTCCCTCCTGGGAAGAGCTGCAGCCACAGTGGACAGCCTCACCTCCACCTCCACCTGGGAACTGGACCAGGCCTGTGAGTGACAAGGGGCCCAGTAGGCCACTCTAAGAGCTACTTTTTGGGGCCCCACCAGCAGCGAGGAGGGAAGGGCCCGGTTGCTGAACTTTTCCCTACTTGGTGCCAAGCTTGGAGAGGAGCCAACTTTTCATCTCAGGAAGACCATGTGGGGGAAGGTGCTTGGTAAATGCCCTTCCTCGCACCTGCCTCCTGCTCCTTGCCCATCCCCTCCCTCACCTCCATTCTCTCTTAATCAATAAAGCAATCCCGTGAAGCAAAGGAAGCCTAATTTCACCTCAGCCTGCGGTTTACCTGGGAGACGTCCAGGTTCTTAGGACTCCCTCTCTACACAGAGAGTTCCTGACCCGGCCGAGGGTGAAAGCCACCTCGGCTGGTGGGCAGATGGCCCGACGGGGGTTGGGGTTTGCTCAGGGACCTTCCTGCATGAGAAAGGGCTCCCTTTGTGCTTGCCCGGCAGCTCCTGGAACAAAACACATTCACATGCTTATTTACAAGAAGGCAAGGGAGGCATCCCGGGGTGGAGCAGTTTTCCTTTGTTTGGTTGCATTTTGCAGGCTTATTGTTCCCCTGGACTGGCGGGGGAGGGGCGTACTAAACAGCTGGGGGAGTGAGTTTGTGTGATCCGATGGCTTTCCCCCGCGGTGGGGAAGAAGCCTGTGCACGTGGGTACCAGGCTGTGCCCCGTGAGCACCGCTGTTTCTCTGTGTGCTTCTCTTTCTGTTGCTCTGTTTCTCTGGGCCTACACCAGTGTGTGAATGCATTTGCTTACTTGCCCATCGCCTCCATCACTGGCCTCTGAACCCTGAGCCCTGAGCCCTGACAGACTCGGCAACTCCAGTGACCCCTAAAAATTCCTTTCCCTCTGGACTGGCCGTGTGCGGACTGGCCTGATTCCCCTTTCTTCCTTCTTTAAGATGAGGCTGGCAGGGTATAACAGGGATGTCCAACCTTTTGGCATCTCTGGGTCACCCCGGAAGATGAATTGTTGGGCCACACATTAAGTACACAAACACTAATGAAAGCTGGTAAGAAAAAAAGGTTTTAAGTAAACTTACCATTTTGTGTGGGGCCTCATTCATAGCCGTCCTGGGCTGCAAGCTGGACACTCCTGAAAGGGACGTGATGGGCAGAGGAGAGAGTGCGCTCTCCAGTCTGGATTACCTTACGCTGTCCCCAGAATGGGGATGGTCCCTGGCCAATGGTCAGCGATGGAGGTTCCTGGAGCAGCTCTCTGCCCCAGGACCACACTTACTCACAGGAGTGAAGGTGCAACGAGCGCCCTCTAGTGGTCCTGAGGCTTCCTGCCGCAGAGGGAGGAATCCGGAATCTGGGAAAAACGTGAAAAACTGGGGCAGAGGCCGAAGTTCAGCTTAAAGCCCAGGCCTCCTTCTCATGTGGCACTGCAGCTGGTCGACTTTGGACTTTAAAACATTAAATCTCCTTTCAATTCCGACCAGCCAAGTTTAGCACATCTTGAGAGCACCATTTAAACATGGTGCCGGGCTTTCCAGAACTTTGTCAATACTGGTCCAGGAAGTCAGGATCCCCATTTTACAGGAACCGAGTCTCCGGGAGTTGATTTGCCTGCGGTCGCAAAGCTGGACTGCAGCAGCGCAGGGGCCAGGATTCCAGCCCAGGGTCTCCATCCTTCCCTGAGCCCAGCTGCCCAAACGCAGGCATCCAGCCAGGTCCTGTGGGGACAGAGGGGTGGGTAGGCCAGGAGTTCAAAGGCAGGACCTGGCTGACGGCAGCCCACAGCCCTGGCAGGGGCCTCAGTGCTGTCTGGCCCACTGCTCTGGGCTCCAGCGTCCCCTGGGGCCTGTCCCCCACCCTGCTCACCCTTGCTTCCTCTGGCCTCTGTGACTGCAAACTCCTCGCTGCCCTCCCTCCCTCCCCTTGGACCCCCTTGCTCTCATTTCGAGTAGCAGGCAGGCTGTGGGTCCCTGAGGGCTCCAAGACCTACCTAGCTGCCGTGTCTCTTCCACGCGGAATCTGAGCCCTCCCGCCCTTCCATCTACGGTCCCTCCTTGAGGTTCCTCTTTCTCCATCCTGATTTGGTTCTGTCCCTCTCCCACCCAGCCAGTTATTTTCTAGTCATTTGTTGACTTGCCTTTTTCTTCCGACGCTGCTGTGTAGCTCCCCAGATGGGGCATTATTAATTAACCCTTTAAAAAGAGTAAAGGACAATTTATGATTATAAAAGTAACATAATTTGATCGTGGGTAATGTGGAAAATACAAACACATATAAACAAAAAATTAAAAGTCGCTCAGAAATTTGCGCCCTGAGTTTTACTTTAAAATTTTCCCCAGGCTTACACAAGTGATTTTGTTTTTCCCACGTGAAGTCAAGATCACGCTGTAAAGTTTTGCATTCTGCCTTTTATAACACGTGACATATCCTGAGTTGCCCCATCATCCGCCAAGTTGGCGGTCATCCCGCTGCGTGGATGCCCGGTGCTTGTGCCCCAACGGTAATGTTCCGGTCTCTGAGGTGCAACATGGGCTCCAGCTGGTGCTCGGAGACCTTGCTGAGAGCCGGCGAGGGAAATCCATGCTCGGCCCCTGAGTGCGGACCCTAAAAGTGGAGGAAGGGATCCGCCCCGCTCCCGGCCGCGCGCCGACGGGTGTGAATTAGGGGGAAGACTGCGCGGGGCCAGCCGAGGGCTGGGTCACCTATTTCTCGAGATTTCTTCGATCAGGGACTTTCTGGAGGTATGGACTTCACCCAGGACCCAGGCGACCTGAGGCCCCGCCCCTCCGGGTGCCGCTTGACCCAAGTCCACACCAGCCCCGGCATCTGGGCGGGGCCAAGGGGGAGGGGCGGGGCCAAGGGGAGGCCGCTCCCGCCAAATTGCAGCCCAGCCCTGCGGCGCTGCATTATCGCGAGAGCTCAGAGGCGGCACGCAGCTCCAGCATCTTCCTCGCTGGCGTCGGCGGCGTAGTGCGCAGGCGCGGCGGGCGGGCGGGTTTCCCTGGGCTGCAGCCCGCGCCGTCGCCCGCTGGTCCGCCGCCCTGCGCCATGGCGGGCTGCGCGGCGCGGGCTCCTCCGGGCTCGGAGGCGCGTCTCAGCCTCGCCACCTTCCTGCTGGGTGCCTCCGTGCTCGCGCTGCCGCTGCTCACGCGCGCCGGCCTGCAGGGCCGCACGGGGCTGGCGCTCTACGTAGCCGGGCTCAACGCGCTGCTGCTGCTGCTGTACCGACCGCCGCGCTACCAGGTGCGGGCCGGCGTCGGGCGAGGACCGGGCGGGCTGGGTGCGACGCGCGGGCACCCTCCCGGAGGTCCGGGTCGGGTTCGGCCGGGAGAGGGGCTACTTCCCCCAGTGTGTTCTGTGGTCGCGAGTTCAGGTGGCAGGAGGGACCGCTCCTCACCCGGTTCGGGGGCGTGGGGCCCTCCACCCGGCGGGGCGGGTGCAGAATTGCAATTGGTGCGGTTCAGCAGCTGCGGCAGATGCGCGTGGGGTGAGGAGTGAGCGAGCCTACGAGTTTTATGTAATTGAAGGTGTGGAGACCTACCTGCTGTCAAGTCTGAGGTCAGAGGTCCCGCAGTTACCCGGAGGGGGCCGGGCGCGAGAGTCCCGGGTGCCCAGACCAGGTTCGCTGTGGTGACTTGGGAGAATCCTGCCAATAAATTAGGTTCACACAGTTTATCCACAGCCCTGAGTAACAATGGCAGCTAGAACTTATGTAGCATTTGCTCCTACCTCCTTTACATGGAGAGCCTGTTAAAGGGTAGGTACTGATAATATCCGCATTCTGTAGATGGGGAAACCGAGGTCCAGAGGGTTAAGTTACTTGTCCAAGGCCACACAGGCAGAGTGGTGGGCGCGGGATTTTCACATATGCTCTAGGTGCTTGCCGGTGGCCCTATCCCAGGAAGTAGGGTGAGCGCGCTCCAAGGACAGCAGGTGACACTTCTTTTGGGTCTCTTCTAGATAGCCATCCGAGCTTGCTTCCTTGGCTTCGTGTTCGGCTGTGGGGTGCTGCTAAGTTTTAGCCAGTCTTCTTGGAATCACTTTGGCTGGTAAGAAGGATTTGGGGAAGGGGGGGCGGGGGGGGGGGGACCGGGGCTTGAGGGTAGGGTGAGCAGATCAGCGGGTGAGTGGCGGTATTTCGTCATTCCTGAGTCTCATCTCTGGCTGGCTGAAGACTGTTTAGGGTTCTGTGGAAAATGGACATCCATCTTCCACCAAGATTCTCACAGCTTGGACCTTGAAGGCTTGTGCCCATCAGTCGCTTCTGCTGCTGGCAGAAGCAATACCCTGGTACCCTCTCCACAGGTGCCTGCAGCTGCAGCTGCTGTGACATCTGCCACCGTGGCGGGAAGGGGCAAGGTTCTGGCCCGTCTTCACAGGCCTGCGCCGTCTCCGATTTCCATTAGGGCACATCTCGTGCATCCCCAGGGCCAGGGGAGGATTTTCCCCTCCACTCTGATTTCAGTCTAGCCCCTCATGCCATCTAGTCCCTGACCTGGGTAAGAACCAGTGGCTTCAAGGTGAAAAGTTTGTCTCCTGTTATCAACACTGAGTTGTCTAATTCTTTGTTGCTGGAGTTATTTAATTTTTTACAATGTTAGTATTTGATGTACATTTCTACTTTATTTTGCAGTTTCCCACTTCCATGTTTTACCGTGTGCTGTGTCATTTTAGAAAGGCGAGAGGGCCCATAATGCCTTTGTAACCTGCGTTTGTTTGTTTGTTTTGCCTATGACATTCAAAAGTGTAGTCCTTTTAAAAACTCACTTTCTGTGAACCTGAGGGAGTGATATGGGTGCCTGAGGTCCACTCTCAGACAGGTGGCAGTAGGACCTCATTGCAGAATTCAGGGACAGTTTCACAGACCCAAATCTGCACTTCGACTTATGGCTGTTCCCTTACCCTGACTTACCTCCCTCTGTCACTCTTTAATTTCTTACTCCAAAAGTTCAAATTTCACCTATTTCTATGTTGTAAATAGGTACATGTGCTCACTGTCATTATTCCACTACTCTGAATACTTGGTCACAGCGGTCAACAATCCCAAGAGCCTGTCGCTGGATTCTTTCCTCCTCAATCACAGCCTGGAGTACACCGTGGCTGCTCTTTCTTCTTGGGTCGAGTTCACACTTGAGAACATCTTCTGGCCAGGTCAGTGTGCCCGGCTCTCCGTTCTGGGGGGGGGATGAGCAGCTTCCTCGCCAGCTTGGTGACAGTGACCTGGGTTCACCTGTCAGGTTTAATCTCCCCGAGTGATTTCCCCAGGCCTCTGTCCTCACTAAGCTCTTTATAGAGGACGGGCTTGTGGATTCTGCTTCTGGAGTTTGAATCGAGGTCATGCTGACCTTTTGCTTTAAGCCCTTGCGTAACGTGGTGCATCGTGGGATATGAAGGTCCTACCTTTGATCACTGTGATCCTAATTTTACAGTCTGAGGAGATTTGGATCTAGTCCTTTTATGTGATTTGAGAAATGTCATGTGAAGCTTTTATTAGCAAAAGCTTCTGCACCAGGCACCTCCTTGCAAGTGGAAGCCCCTGCAGCGAATCAAGTCAAATGCATGTTGTTCCCAGCATTCAGCAAATGGCCAAGGCGGGAAATACTGGGTCCTTCTCTGTTTCACTCAGCCGTCCTTGTCCCCAGGGGAAGGACAGGAGCCTGTGGCAGGGCAGTGTGGACTGAGAGCCTGCCAGCTCTTTGCCAGCATGCTCTGATGGGGTTGTTGGCACTTGAAACAGATGAACAGCACAACTTAGGAGGATGTGTTTTGCTTATACTTAAATTTTAATGTGATAACAAATGCCAGTTGCCCACGAGTGTGTTTTCCACCATGTTCCTGTCTTTGGAAAATAGAGTCGTCATGAGCATCCAAGGGGGGGAGCTCCACAGTCCGGAGTTTCCACTCCCATTTTTCGCCTTATCTCCTGCAGAACTGAAGCAGATCACCTGGCTGAGTGCCACGGGCCTGCTGATGGTCGTCTTTGGAGAATGTCTGAGGAAAGCGGCCATGTTTACAGCTGGCTCCAACTTCAACCACGTGGTGCAGAACGAAAAATCAGAAACCCACACTTTGGTGACTAGTGGGGTGTACGCCTGGTTCCGGCACCCATCCTACGTTGGCTGGTTTTACTGGAGCATCGGAACCCAGGTACGGTGTCGGGGCTGACACTGGTCTCCTTTCCGTTTTCCTAAACCATAATTGACGTGTCAGTCACATAGCACAAAATTCACCGGTTCCAAGCGTGCCGTTCAGCAGGTTACAGTGTATCATGAGGTCGTTGTCCTCTATAGGTAGATGCACCTGCTCCCTGTCACGGTTCAAGCGAGAACTAAATGAAAGTCAAAGGAACTGGTTTAGTCCTTAACATTTTTGACCACGTGCTTGAAGTATGGGCATCCTAAATTATAGGCTTTTGGTGGGTCTGGGTGCCCCCCCATCTGCTGCCCCCCTGCTCTGCCTCGTTAACTTGGATCTGAAGTGCCCAGCGGGATGCGGACAGAGACAGGGCTGCCGCTCGTTTTCATTGGAAGCTGCCATTGAGGAGGCCGAGGTTGCGGGTCAGGTTTAACGTGACTGTGGAGGTTTGTTCTGTCTCGGGCTGCAGAGTGAGTTTTGTTCCTCGACCGTTGTCTCTCGAATCTGCTCTCTCGGTCCGAGGAGGACTTGGCCGGAGCACACGGACAGAGCTTAGGAAACTCGCCCCCTCGTGAGGGAAACGCGGCCTGGGCCCCCACGTTCCAGGGCAGCGCACGGTCCGTGGGGACTCCGGTGGCCCCCAGTGGTCACCCCACAGCCTTCATTCATTCATTCATTCATTCATTCATTCATTCATTTAAATCTTTACCCAAGGCCATGCCTTCATTGCTCTTAGAGAAAAAGGGGAGCGGGGAGAGAGAAAGACATTGATCAGCTGCCTCTTGTACACACACTGACCAGGGATCGAACCTGCAACTCAGGCACGTGCCCGGACGGGGGACTGAACCTGCAACCTTTTGGTGTAGGGGACAATGCTCCAACCAACTGAGCCACCAGCTAGTACATAGCATTTGTTTTAAAACTTGCATTTCTGAAACTTGAGACTCTAGCATTAACAGTCACATTCCCTGGGAAGAAATCAGTTATAGTTGAGACACGGAGTTGCTGTCAGTGCTGGCTATGAGCCTGAGGACTAAAGAGGTTTTTTTTTTCCAAATTTCTATTTATTTTTTAAAGAGGGAAGGGAGGGGGAAAGAGAAGGAAACGTCAGTGTGTGGTTGCCTCTCATACGCCCTCTACTGGGGACCTCGCCAGCAACCCAGGCGTGTGTTCTGACTGGGAATCGAACCAGGGGCCCTTCACTTCACACAGTCTGGTGCTCAATCCACTGAGCCACACCAGTCGGGGCTAAAGAGATTTTATACCTTCTTGGCCATAGATCTTTGTACACTGTGACTCAGTACACGGGTGTGTAAACGTGGAGCAAGCCTTTCCCAGGACGGCACTTGCCCTCACTGTGTACAGGGCACTCTGTTTTCTGCCTTACTATCGTTCGTAAGGCTGTTCGTGATTTCGTGGCTCAATACGGCCCGTGGCCTGCGATGAGCAAACCCCCCTCTAGGTCATACGGAGAGGCGTCTGCTGTGGTGGGGGCACAGGCTTGGGGGTCGCTGGCCGGGCGCATCCTCGCTCTGACGTTGACTGGTCGGCCTCCCTGTCTGCACGAGTCACATGGGAGAGTGGCCGCAGCAGCACCTTCGGTCTGCTCTGGGCCAGTGGCTTGTTGGTTTTAAAGGGCTGAGCGTGTGCTGGGAACAGGAAGCAGTGCTGGGTGGGTCAACAGTGATGAGAATAAGGAGTCGCAGGCCTGTGCCTGCCTCTCAGTGGAAGCCACCCACTTTTGGGAGACGCCCATCGGGCGGGTCAGTCAGCACGGCCAGGGGTGGGACTCCCTCAAGGGCTGGATGAGCTTGGCTTGGAAGGACTCATTGGCGATGGATCAGGGGACGAGACGTTCTCATAAGTGGAAAAACCACGAGTCTGGAGGTGAGAGGCAGCCCACGTGGATGTAGCTGGGTGGGGGGGACTGGAAGAGGTGGGCTCAGGTTCTGCGCTCCCACCAGCCCAAAGAGGTGGGTTAGGCCTTGGAGTTTTCTGAGCAGGGCAGTGATTGGATGGAGGAAGGTGTTCCGGAAGCTCCGTCAGATCGTAGTGTATCGGGGACACGGGTGGGCAGTGGGGCCAGAGGCAGGGGCCGGGCCGCTGTGGGGTGGGAGGGAGCGTGCTGGGCTCTGCCGGCCCCGGACAGGAAGGCGAGGGGAAGGCAGAAGGCGGGTGCGCCAGATGAGTGGGAGTCCACTCGTGGGGGCTGGAGGGGGGCTGCTGGCACCCCAGTCTGGGGCGGGAGTCCAAGAGGTCTTCCCGTGCGGGACCCACCCTTCAGGTGAGAGACGCCAGAGAGCACGTGGTTGAAACCGCTGGGATGCGGGTCAGTGCCAGTGGGGCAGTGACGGTGTGGCCGCACCCGCTGGCACGCTGGCTGCGGCCCTCAGTGACCTTGACCCTTCGTGTTTTGAGCGTCCTCAGGCCCTTGGCGGGAAGCCCTCTGTGGGTGCTGGCCACAGCCGGTGCCGAAAGAGTGCACAGCATCCGTCCCGCTGACCCTGCTCAACCTCGTGTCTCCGTCAGGTGATGCTGTGCAACCCCGTCTGTGGCGTCGGCTACGCGCTGACAGTGTGGCGCTTCTTCCGGGACCGCACAGAGGAGGAGGAGATCTCACTCATCCACTTTTTTGGCGAGGAGTACCTGGAGTACAAGAAGCGGGTGCCCACGGGCCTGCCTTTTATAAAAGGGGTCAAGGTGGAGCTATGACACGCCAGGGGCTGCGGGGCCGTCTGCCCTGTGCTGCCCGGGACAAGACGGCCTCTGGCCGGCCTCTCTGCAGAATGGATTTTCTTAGTTATTTTCTATGTCACCATCTACTCTTCTGGAATATCAACTTAATACCCAGTGGTCAGAAGGCCTGAGGACCAAAGGACTGCCCCTGTCCCCCCAGCTTCCCGGGGCAGTGTGTTCTTGGGCTGAATCAAGGCAGGGTGAGGATGGAAGGTGGACAAGGAGCACATAACAGCAATATTCGGCAGTGCCCCCGCCCCAGAGGGTGCGCGGGCTGCTGGCCAGCCTTTGAGGCCCCCTTGCACCTAGGCTTGTAACTGAGACCCCTCCGGAGAGGTGGACCCGCTGCTCTGAATGAGGCTTCTTCAGCAGGAAGGGGTGTGCGGGCCCCAGTGCTTTTAGTTAGAAATACACTGCAAGTCCTTCCTGTAGCCGAACAGCAGCACGGCTTCGACCTCCTCATTTCCGCCCCTGGTGCGCAGACACCTGGGAGTCCTCAGGTCCGCATCCTTGTCCTCCCCGCGAGGCACTTGCTCTTCACGTACTTACTCATACCTACAGATCTGCTTTCAGAAATAGCAGTGTGAATTCAAAGGGGACACGGCATTTGTAGCCCCGCCTCTTATTTGGCAGAGAGGAAGCGGGACACTCAGCCGATTTGGCTGAGTGGCTTTGTGTTACCAGGGAGCCCAGGCCCCTGCGGCTTCCAGGCTCCCGGCTCCCACCCTTCTCCCAGGTGGGGGCTGTTGCCAGTGGCAGGCACGTCCAACGCGGTCACTTGTCCTCTATCCAGGAAATGCCCACTGAGCCCCTGCTCTGCGAGAGGGGTTGTTAAACACTGAGAAGTACTGCTCTCCATTCCTTTGTCATTTTAGTATTTTACCACAGCATATAGTTTTGTGTTTTGATTTAAATCTATTACCTATTGATTTCTATGTTCTGATCTCAAAATTTCGTAGTCCCTCATGCCATTTCAGACTCTTCCAGCGGGGTTCAAGGGCACACACAGCTACAGCACTCATGTTGACTCGTGAAAGTCCCAAACAGAGCAACCAGCCCCACCTGAGAGTTAGTCGTGGTTTTATTTCCGAGTTCAGGGAGAACGGTTGGCTCCATGAGTCGAATGCTCCATGAGTCGAGGACAGAGACTTTGAGGCTCTTGTTGAACTCGGAAGGGACAGGACCTCGGTCTCAGTGTGAGGCCCTTGCGTGCGGTTCTGCGGTGGCGCTGGGACACAGGAACAGGACGGTGGCAGAGCCCCGGCTGGAGGGCCGCCCTGACACCACGCCACACCTCGCCACTTCCCAGGAGCCACCTACCTTTCTGTGCCTAGACCGCCCCATCCGCAGAATGGGGTCACTACCACCTACCTCACAGGGGTGTCGCGAAGACTTGGAAGAACAGTGTCGGATGTTTTCAGTACCTAGGTGAGAGGCGACGTTTAAGTAAGAGTTACGTAAAGTGGACACTCGAACCATGCCAGACACTGGGAATGCGAGCTGAAAAGAGCGTTTCCCAACGCAAAATTGGTATTGATTTCAAGAATTCATGGCCTACTTAGTTTGTTCCTTATTTTATATACCAAAGAGTGTGTAGGTCCGTCGGTCGCTGGCATGGCACTTGCTGGCATGAGGACTGGAAAGACCCACCCAACGGCCCTGCAGGGAGTCCTGCGGTCACACTGGCCAAAGCTGCCGCCGGAGCCCTGGTGGGCCCGCGGGACGGCCGCACGCCCGGTCTGAATGCAAACTCGGGTTAGAACAGCTGTAGACTTGTTCCCCAGACCACACTTGGCAGGTGAAATCCCACTTAGGAGAAGAACCACAGGGGGGAGAGGGCGGCAGCCATCCCAGCCCTCTAAGGGGAAGGGCTAGCTACGCCGAGTGGGCGGGGCGTGGACCCAGCGTTCATGACCCCTGGCGGCCATCCGTTTGTGTTTTCCTGCTGGAGAGCAGCTAATGGCAGTTCTGGCTTTGTGGACAGGGAGACAGGGTCTGTTCTTCCTCCACCTGCCAGAGGTCGGAAAGCCCACCATCCTGCCTCCAGGGGCTCAGGAGGCAGGCCTTGCTCTGCGGGTGCTGCCCTCCCCCCACCCCGGGCTTGACATTCTCTTCAGCTTTCAGGGAGCAGGTCTGGGGTGGGGGCCCTGAGAACATTCACACCCTCATAGTGGTCCCAGGGCGGGAGTCAGCAGTTATTGGGGATGAAAGATGAACTACTTAGGGACGGGGTTTGGCAGGTGATTGACTTTCGTCTGGCACTGAGACTGAGCTTATTTTTAACTGTATAAATTTAGCAGTGACCGTGTGCTGAGCAGAGAATCAGGTTAATGAGGTACAGGCTTTCTGGGTGTTCCCCAGAGCTTTGTGGGCAAAGGCCACGTCTCCAGTTCCCTCAAACTAAAAAACTGTCAGGAGATTTCTTTTTCCATTGCGAGTTTTAAAGCACAGATTCTCAAGTAGAACACAGGTGCTGCACAGAACAAAGTTACTTTGAAGCCGCACGAAAGGACACATTTTACAGGGATTTGCAGGCTGGACCGAGAATGGCAATTACAGCACAGGGTGGGGGTCGAGCCCCAGAGTCCCCCAGTGCGTGCAGCCCCCCGCCCCGTTCATCCAGCCCTCTGGGCCGTGGCACGGTGGGGAAATACTGCTGAGCTGGCTCCTTGTGTTAACAGATTAGGCTCCGCAAGTCTCAGCTGCAGCTCATTTTGGTAGCAGCCCTTGTAGCAACCTAGCATCCCCCGCTGTGCACTTTCTCACTGCCTTAGGCAGCTGCCGTCTCCCACCGTCTTTGCTTCTGTAGAGGACCTGGCACTGCCCGCGTGGTGGGGGCTTGCTCTGGGCCCTGCTACGCAAGCCTGCCGCCCGGGCTGGGGCTCGGGCCGGGGTCGGCAGACCAGCCATCGGAAGCGCTGGCTCTGGGAAGTGGACGGCTAGTAGAGGAACTAATGGAGTAATCGTTTTCCTCTTTTTACATGCAGAAATGTTTATTCAAGTGTTTTAAATTGGGTTGTGTTTCACAGGTACTGATACTCTTTCCACACCTGGAATAAAGCTGTACTTGATTTCACTACGAACAATAGCGTGATTATGGGGGCGCAGACACTCAGTGGAGTCACTTCTGGCTCGGAAACGTCTGCACCTGCACCGGGAACCACATGCGTTTTGCCTCCTCGATTCGGCTCTGAATTCCTGCCTCTAAGCAGCTTGTGCGCCATAGGCCCCCATGGAAGGGTGCAGTGCTTTGGCACGGGGACGTTGGTGGCCTGAAATGGCAGGTCCAGGGGTGTCAGTTCACATGTGACCTTAACATAGTGACGTGTGAGCCCAGCTGGTGTGGGGAAGCCATTCGCTGTTTGAACCACTGACTCAAGATGGATGTTTGCTGAAAAGTGTCTCTCTGGGCATCATTTTGCCTCCAAAACTGCCAATCTTAGGTCACATAGGTTCATTTTCCGTTCTGAAAAGTATCAATTTCCACTTGTAAAAAGGGCACCAGGTAGGAATGGGAAAACTTGCTGCCCGCTCCGCTTCAGTAATCAGCTGGAGGCCAGCACAGGGCGCGACTTGAGAGGGAGGCGAAGGCTGCCCTGGAGGCCCCGCCCCTCCGGGCAGGGAGGAGCTGGCGCAGGTTTCTCTCCTCCACTAAGTCAGTGCTCAGGTCCCTGGGTGGAGCCTCCCAGTGGCTCCGGGCTAACAGTGGGGCTGTGACGCAGGAGAAACTGGATTCCTTACAGGATGGGTCTTGTCACCCACGTCCACGGTGGCACGTCCTCATGGGCATGCAGGCGACCCCAGGATGGGGCCACGCACAGGCACCGGGAGAGGCTGGACCAGGGAGTGGCTCGAGGCTGGCTGTTCCCTCATTTACTGTCCCCACAGGCTGGGACTCCTCCCCGGTCACTGTGGTGAGGACCAAGACTTCAGGCCATGTGAACGCAGGGAAAGCAAAGCCAAAGGATCCAGAAGGAGGACCTTTCAGAGGGTTTTTGGGTGTGACCGCCGGGAGACAGTCACCCTTTACCCTTAGACAAAACCATCCCAAGGGGAGCCCCCTTCCTCAGCGTGCTGGGCCCGATGAGCACACTGTGCCAGGCCCGAGCCCCTGGGACCAGCCCCATTGGCTAAGTGGGGTGCTCCCTCTGTGGGGGTCCGTCACCCCCGTTTTTTAGCTTGGGCCTGTGCGGATCTTTGGTTTTTAGTGCAGGCTCTTCTTGGAGGCCGATCAGGGTGTGGCCGCTTCCTCTCAGCTCCGAGGTCTGCTCTCTCTGGTCCGTGGCGCACACCAGGTCACCCCTACAGAAACAGGTGACCCTGAGCTCTGGTCCTCGACACTCCCCACCCTGTTCATGGTGCTGAGCACTTGGGTCGAGGCTCGTGGAATGGCAGGCCTTTCTGGAAGGCACCGGGTGGCCACAGCCTCAGAGCCAGGACTGAAGGGCCTTCCGAGGGACCGTCCTTTTGTTCCGGAGGAGTTTTAGCTGCCAGAGCTCAGTGGTTCGGGCTGCCTCAGCAGGAGCATCTGAGCTGCTCCACGTGGTACATGGGGGGGCGGGGGGGGCACACCTTGTCACCTGAACCGCCCACCACCTCCCTGCCCCTTGGCCACTGGGCTCCTGCAGTGCAAGCCCCGCTGTGACAGTGACCTGGCTGCTGTTGCACATTCTGTCCTCTCTCTGGCAAGCATTTTGGCAAACACTGTGGCTCTCCTGACAGGGATGCTCAGTCACTTTTCTCACGAAGTGAATTACGGCCGAGTGTGCTGGCAGCTGTTGGTGGTGTCGGGTACAGGCAGCCACCAGCACCGTGTGTGGGCCCCGCCCATCCAAGTCGCCTCTGTCATCTGTGAGTCACTGTTCAAAGTCTCCCTCCACATTACAAACCCGTTTGGCCCCGTGTTTTACAAACCGAGGCCCCGCTGAGGCCGCAGAGGGACCAGAGGGGAGAGAAAGTCCGTGGTCTGACTCTGTTGTCCGCGCCTGCCCAGGGTGGAAAGACCTGCTGTACCTGGTCTCGACGCCTGTGCCGTCATCACGCACGTTTTGTAGATGCTCGGAATCCTCGTCCACAGGCACCTGAAACCTGTCCGGGAGGAGGCAGACCCTGGAGTCTGAGGCGCAGTGGGGCCAGCCCAGCGCGGGGTCTGAAGCTCACCGTCCACCCGAGAAACAAATTCACACACACACTCAAGAGCCCCGCCGCTGCCCCGGGCTTTGGCCCTGAGGCGGTGCTGACTGAGGGCGGGCCTGGGCGTGGGTGGGAGGTCGCTGCAGTCCAGACACACACCCAGGTGGGGCATGGGCCCGGCAGGGCCAGCTGGCCGGGAGGGACCCCGGGCGGGACAGGGTGGTTTGGGAAGGCCTCGCTGTCGACACTCAAGCTGAGGCCTGAGTGAATGGGACCCGGGGGACAGTCTGAAACAGGAGAGTTCCAGGCAGAGGCTGGGAAGTGCGAGCCAGTCTAGTTTCTTGGGTGGGGGGGAAGGCCACTGTGAGTGGCATGTGGCGTAGTCAGCCCTGGGTAGGGAGGACCCGAAAGGGCTGTCAGGCCTGCTGTGGTGGGCTGTGTTGGCGTGAAGAAGACCCCCGGCTGTGCGACAGCCCGGAGGGCAGGGGCGTGTGTGACCACGGGGGCTTGGATGGGGGGCGGCTGTGGAGACACAGCAGGCGGGTCGAGGCAGTGGTGTGAACAGGACTTGGGGTTGGGGGGACCTGGGGGTGAGCGGAAGCCCGGAACTGGGGTTTTCCCGGACTTCCTCCCGGAGCTCCCGGAGACTGATGTCATTTAGCAAGGTGACCCTGGAGGGGCGGGATGTGGGCGGAAGTGAGGTTCTGCTGGCCTTTGCAAGTGTGACGTGCCTGTGAGACATCCAAGCAGAGAGCCCCTCCTGGGGCAGCTGGAGGCTGCTTTGACTTGCTCCTGAGGGCTCAGGGGCTACTGTGCGCCGGGAAGCAGGAGATCGGAGCAGCCCACGCATTATGAGTTTTGCAGATGTCAAGCACCTGGTCGCCCTGTGACTTGGCCCACTGACTTCCAGGAGGGGCTCTTCCCAGCGTGGGCAGCTTTCCCACACACGCCAAAGTGGCTTGGCTCCCTGGGGCCACCCTGGTCTCACCTGGGCTGCAGCCGCTCCTTCACCTTGGCAATGGAGCGGACGTAGGGGGTGATGTGCTTGGTGATGGCGGTCAGGCAGGCGTTCTCCTGCTTCAGCTGGACAAGGTCACGGAGCTGGGCTGTGGGGGCCAAGGTCAGAGAGCTGCGTCTCATTGGCTTCAGAGTCTCAGCCTCCAGCCTCTCAACTTTTGCTATCATTACCTCTTTAGTTCAAGAGCGAGGTAAGGCACGTGAGGGCGTTCTACTCACTGGATTCTGACCTCAGGTGCATCATTTTGGGGCCAGTTAGCAGCTGGGAGGCCAGGTCAGGAGTGAAGGGGATGAGCACGGGGGTTTTCAGATCTGGTTAGTGGGTCACTGCTTTCCTATCCCTACTGGCACAGGGGTTAGCACTAGGACACGGTGCACCCAGCAGCGGCTGCCTGGGACCTTCATAAATCTCCTGCTCGTTAGCCACCCGCTGGTAGGATTCCTCCCACATCTGAAAGAGAAAGTAAGTTGGATGTCGCGTGAGTTGGCATTTCCACTGGTGGAATTTCTGCCCTTCGCCACTCACAGCTGGAAGGTACCCCCAGCCCGTTCCTGGGGTTCCAGGCAGCAAAGACCCAGGTTCCAGAGCCGCCACACCAGGCCTCCAGGGGCCCAGCCAACAGACTCTTCCTCCCCAACCTCCCGCCCATCTGTCCCTGGCGACCCAGTGTGCTGACAGGTGGGCTGCCTGCAGGCGGGACCCCGGCGAGGCTACCTCCTGGAAGACGGCTCTCATGCCCTCCACGGAGGCGTACTGCGCGGCGATCCGCACGTCCACCTGCAGGGCCCTGTGCAGGATGTCACCCATGATCTCAGCCTTGATGAGCGAGTGATGCTTGGTGAGGTCCCGGTGCAGCTCCTGGACCTGGTCCTTCAGGCTCTGCGTCTCGGCCTGCAGATGCTACAGGCCAGAACTGTGAGTGCCCGGGCCCCGAGGGAGTGGCCAGGACCACGTTTTACCACTGCACCCTGGGGAGGAGGGGTGGGGCCGTCCCCAGGTCACAGGTGGCGGGGGTGAAGGGGTAGGGGCCCTCACCCGGTAGGAGTCCTCAAAGTGGCGGCAGTGCTCCATGAAGGGCGTGTCCTCCCCCTCTGCCAGCAGCACCCTGGTGCTGATGGACCGGTGCAGCGTGGGCTTCTGGACCGGTGGCCCTGACATCTTCCCTACTGGGGAAGGGCAGCTGGGCACCCCCAGCCCCTTGGGGCCTGAGCCCCCTGCTAACCTGGGGAGGGAGCCAGTGTGGATGCAGAGAAGGCTGGGGGCGGGCCTCTCCCAGCCTCCCAGGGCCTCTCCCAGCAGACCGCGCCCCAGAACCACCACGGGAGCCCCAGAAAAGCCTGATGCAAGGCAGCACCCAAGACCAAGGGCATCGGTGCGGTGTTTTTAAACCTGCAGGCGGTGTCAATGTGCGGAAGGAGAGGCCGTAAGGAGGCTGGTCCAGGGCAAACTCGAGGAGCCTTCCCATTCACTGGGCCCTGGGGCCCCGGCTCAGGCCTTTCTCCTACCTCCTCCCAGGTCCGGGGCTTTCTAGATTCTGGTGGGGTCCCCACCCTGTGGTCCTCCCCTGATGGAGGTGCCCCAGACGGCTGCTTCCCAGACAGCACACTCGCTCTCCTGCTTGGCATCGTAGGCTTGGGGTTCAGTGAGCTGGGAAGGGCAGTGCCCCACCTGCCCCAGCCTCTCAGGCACCGAACCCTGACAGGGACCTTGTTGCTCACGTGTTGGTGCTGCCCCCAGCACCTGCTGCCTGGCAAGGCCCAGGAGGCGGCAGCAGCAGCGGTTCCAGGCAGCGGGAGAACTCTGCACGGTGGTCGCTGATGATCTGGGCGAGAAAGACAGGTCTGAGCCCTGGGAACCGCGAAGGGGCCCCAGCTCCGCAGGCCTCCCGCCCCTCCCTGCACCTGGCTGCTCCGAGAGGGCTGGAGGCGATGCGGCTGTGAAGCGATGCCCTGCAGCCTCTCAATCAGCTCCTACAGGGTAGGGGTTTTTAGGGGGGTGAGGGGGAGGCCCCAGAGCAAGTCTGTCTTGCACTTTCCCTGGTGTTGGTTGGAGGCTGCAGCCTTTCCCTGGGACTGGCTGGGAACCCCCATGCCCCAAAGCCCACAGGGAAGTCTGGGCTCCAGTAGGTGCTGATCTCTGGGGGGCAGAGGCTTGTGTTCCCTCCCGGGCTCCGCTGTCCTTTTAAAGGTACATGGCGGGCCCCTACAGGGTTTATAGATGATGGTGTGCCTCCGGGTGACAGTCTCCAAGGCGCCGGGTGGGTTCCTGCTGGGGAGGGGGGACCCCAGAGGAGCTGGGGGACTCACATAGCCCAGGTCCAGAAACTGGGCCTTGTTGGCCAGGCTGAGGAAGGAGGAGCAGATGACCAGGTGAACCTGTGGGAGGGACACCGCTCAGTGCCTGGTCTGGGAGGGGCCTCTGGGCAGGGGAGCCTGGCCCTGTGCAGTTCTGCCCACCTTACCTGCAGGGTGGGCAGCAGGGTGGCCAAGTGGGAGAGCTGCTCCTTGAAGGCCTTGTCCTTCTCCTCATACTGGCTGGGGGAGGGGCAGGCAGCCTCATCTCCAGGGGGGGCTGCCCACCCCCCCAGGGGCCTCAGGGCCCCGTGGTCCGTCCTCTGTGCACCCTTCCCTGTGCCCCGAACAACCCTGCCCTCCCTCTGCGGGGGGCACGTACCCTCCCACTCACCTCTGCACGGCCCGCAGCAGCAGCTCTTTCCTCTCGGCCAGTTTGTCCTGGGAGGGACAGAAGCTGCAGGCCGTGGCATGGGCCCTGCCCAGCTGGGCCGCCTCCCAGCTCCCCTGGGCCCCGGCCACACCTGGTGCACTGGCTCGCTCTGCAACCTGTCATGGGGCCGCCTGCGCCAGAGGCCCTCCTTCCTGTATCCCACTGCTGGAGAGCGTCACCTCCTGGGGGAGGTATTCCCTGGCCACCCGCTGACCCAGCACCGACGGGGACGGGCCCTGGATTCCCCATGGGAACTCTCCTGGAGACTGGGATGAACTCCTGGCGCAGCTCAATGTCTGCCTTCCTGCTACACCGGGAACTCTGGGAGGGCTCTGGGGGGCGTGTCCTATGTCATGGTCGTGGCTGATGAGGATGCTCAGCCGTGGCCGTCCTGTCCTCTCCACTCCTCACCTGCATGCTGCCGAACAGGGCGTGGATGGCGGCTTCCTCCTCTGCTGCGCTGCACCGCACCTCCTCCACCATTGCCTGCAGCAGCCCGATGGCCTCCTGGGTGGCCGTCTGCAGGGCCTTCACGCCCTGGGGACAAGGTGGCTTCAGTCTCGTGGGCGGTGCATGTGTCCCCGACCCCGTGCCGGCCAGTCGGCAGGGCACCCCGTGCTCACCAGCACCGCCTGCTCCAGCCGCTCGCAGCCCTGCACGTAGGCCGACTCGAGGTCCACGCAGTGGGCTCGGCTCTCCCTGTGGGTCACCCGAGGGTGAGTCAGGCTCAGTGCCTCACTGCCCCCAGCTCCCCGGCCTCCAGCTCCCTCGACCCACCCCTGCATGTCCCGGAAGCAGCGGATGCACAGCAGCGACTTCTTGTCGGTGGAGAACATGATGTAGGGTTCCGCGTGCAGAGCTGTGGAGGGTGGCAGTGAGGGCTGGGCGGTTCTCACCCCTGCCCCCTCGGTTCGCCCCCATCCGCCCTGACCAGCCTCACTCACTGCACTTCTGGAGCACGTCGCGGCTGCGCTGGCCCAGGGCCACGATGTCGTGGCGTGCGAACATGCGAGCCCGGTGTGTCTCTTCTCGGCAGTGAGCGCATAGCGGCTGCCCACACGTGTTGCAGAAGTACGTGGTCTCGAGGTCCTGTGGGCCCAGCGCAGGCTCAGCCCGCCCACTGTGGGGAGGAGCCGGGCCCCACCGCCACCCCTGTGGGACCAGCCATCTCTGGTCCCTCCATCTCTGGTCCCAGCCTGGGGCAGGAACTCGGCTCAGTGCGGCCCTTCCGTGTGACCCCAACTCTCTAGTAGACCCATTTTACAGATGAGAACCCCCAGGCTCAGAGAGTAGGGAAGAGGTTCTCTCTGGGCAGGTGCCCTGAAGGGGCCTGGCCGGGCCCTACATGAGGCTGGGGCAGGGCAGGACTGCATTTGCAAAACATTTCACCTATAACAAAAGTGGGTGTGTGTGGAGACCTCTCAGGCCCCTGCTTATGACCCCCCAGTAGTAGCCACATGGCAGTGCCCACCCTGGCCAAGCGGACGCCAAATTTGGCTGGGAGAGGAGAGGGGGCGAGGGCTTGCAGTCCCCTTGCGCAGGCCAGACCCGGGCCGAGTCCAGGGCGAGGCCCTGACTGAAATAGCGGCCATAAAAGTACAAGCTCTTACGCTGGCATTCGAGGCCATTCCCCCTGCCGCTCTCATGTCCTCCAGCTGGTCACCTCTGTGTCATACAAGACCTAATGCTTGTCCTGTACCCCCCACGCCCCTCCCTGACTCCTGCAGGGGCGTCCTCCTGGAACTGAGGATACCTGTCCACGTTCTGAGGACCAGAGTCCCACGTGCCCCTCACAACCTGCCCTCAGCTCGTTGGTTTGTTTTATTTTTTCCCCTGGGCTCAGGGGCAGCGTCACCACCCCCCCTCCCCCCCATAGCACAGGGCCGCAGGGGCCTGTTCTCAGCTCTGAGTTTGCCACTGTCTGGCTCTTAGCACAAGTCACTTGTCCTGAACTTTTGTCCCCCCACCTGTAAAGTGGGACCCATGTTTGGGATCCGGGGTGACTGAAGGAGCTGCTGGAGGAGCCCCAATGGATCGTCCCCTGAGGATGAGTCGGGTGCGCTCTGCCCGCATGGGGACCCCGGGACCTTGCACCCTCGCCACCCCCCCAGGCGCCCCTGCCTGCTCGCTGCACGCCAGGTCACAGTTGGCACACCGCACCACCTCCAGGCCGTCCCCCGAGCTGTCCACGAGGAACTGGAGCAGCCGGTCCACTGGAGGGATCCCGCCGGGGCCCTTCACCACCGTCTGGTGTCTGCGGAGAAGCTGCGGCCAGGATCAAGATGCCCCCTGCCCTTGGCTCAGAACCAGTTCCCACCCCCCACCTCCCAGGCTGGAACTAAAAATAGGGCAGGAGGTGGGGTACCCAGCAGGCTGGCATCTGCTATAAATATCTCAGCCACTGCTCACTCTGACCCAGTCCTGCACAAGTCCTGGGAGGCAGGGGGTTGTCGACCTGGGGTGACAAGGCAGAAGCCTGTCCTCAATCCCCACTCCCTGCGTGGGGAAAGTTGACTACGGCCACACCCAGGTCACTTGAGCTGGCACCACCGGCTTAAATTGACCAAGGATTTCAGGCACTCCCGAGGGAGGTACTGGGAGTGCCCTAGCTGGTGCAGTGTTGAGATGGGGCTACTCCAGTAGCAGCTGTAAGTCCCCACGTGACAGGTGCCCTAGCCCCGCCCTTGACCCCTGACCTTCCGTGGGAGGCCCAGACCAGCAAAATGAGCAGTGGCAGCCGGGTGCATCCTCCCCGGCAGGGCGGGCTGGGCCAGGGGCAGCCTTTCCCCCTCCCCGATTCTGATGGGATACTGCGCCTCGCTCCCGGCACAGAGGTCCTCGCCCGGGCAGGGCCGGTCTCCCTTCCCAGGACGGGCTCCGTTGGCGCCTGGACTCACTCACTGGCACAGCGGGCAGGTGAGGAGGCCGTCGGCGGCGCGGCCGCGCAGGCAGCCGGCGCAGAAGTGGTGGAAGCAGTCGAGCAGGCACGGGCGCTCGTACTGCGCGTGGCACAGCGGGCACACGAGCGGGTGGCCGTTCGCAGCGTCCGGGGCATCTGGGCCCTCTAGGGGCGCGAAGATCGCTCCCGACATCGGCAGGGCGTCCGGTGGTCACGGAGCCGGGCGAGGAGCTGCCAGGGCCGCAGCCGGCTTTGGAGCGCAGGGCGCAGGGAGAATGGGCAGGGAGGCGGGCCGAGGGGCGGGCCGGGCACCTGAGCTCCCAGCCTCTCCCGCACCCCCGCGGGGCCCTGGGAGGTCAGGCCGCTGCACCCAGCAATGCCTCCTACCCAGCGGCCAGCCTCCCCCTGCCTCCACCTCTCCCACCAACTCTTACTCCCGCCCCAGGAATTTCCCCTCCCGGTGTCCTCGGAGTGGCCAGCGGGCGACACCCCTTCCGCGCTGGGCCACACCGTTGCTCGGCTGTGGCTGTGGTGTCCCCACCGCCTGCCTCAGGCTCTGCCCGCGGGGTCCTGCCGAGGCCACTCGGTCCCCAGTGCGGAAGGGGGAGAGGCAGGGAGGCTGCTGCTGCAAAGGGCGGTGCTACGCGAGGGTCCGAGGCTCAGAGCGGGAGGGTCCAGCTCCTCTTGGGAGGACCGAGTAGCCGCAGGAACGCGGGGGCCTGTACCCACGGGGCTTGAGTCGGGACAGAAGTGAGTCCCCACGGCCCCGTTTTCTCCATGGCCAATTGGGGGCGACAGATTGGTGGATGCCCCTCCAGGGACATCCTAGTACTGGCGAGAGGCGTGAGAGGGTCTGGGATCCCTGACCTCCCTTTGACTGGTTAGGGGCTCCTGGCCGTTATTGAACTCTCAGAGCCTTTCACGGAGTGCGATGCGCTGCACTAGGCTTCCAAATAACTAGGCCGCACCCCCTTCATCAGGGGAGCTCCCGAGAAAGGGCCCCCTCTGACTTTCTAGGCCTAGCAAGCGCTTGTTTGTCCCAGTATGATTTTCTCCGGAGCGCCCTTCATCCCCGGGTCATCCTCCGCCTTCCTTTCACACTGAGCTCTGGGAAAACAGCTGCCTCCCACCCCCACCCCATCCTGTTCTTGCCCTCCCTGAAATCAGCATCAAATCCAGACCCTGACCCACAGAAAGGTGCTCAGTAAAGCCTTACTCATAAGCTCTGACTGGTGTGGCTCAGCGGACTGAGTGTGGGCTGCAAACAGAAGGGTCACCCGTTTGATTCCCAGTCAGGGCACATGCCTGGGTTGCTGGCCCGGTTGCAAACCAGGTCCCCAGTAAGGGGAGTGTGAGAGGCAACCACACCTTGATACTTCTCTTCCTGTCTGTCTCCCTCCCTTCCCCTCTCTAAAAATAAATAAATTGGGGAAAAAAAGCCTTACTCATCAGTTAGAAACATCTGGGAGATAAAAATTCGAGCTGGGTTTTGAAGGATGTGTAGGAGTTTGCTGGGGAGGAAAAAGGAAGTGAATTCTGGGCAGACACTACCTGCCCTTTTAGGGTCCTGCCCAGCCCCGGTTCGTTTGTGCTCCAAGTCGTGACAACAGTAATGCATTCGGGCCAGACCACTATTCAGTCTTGTACTCCTGACAACTGACAGCCACCTTGGGAGTAGGGGTCACCCTAGTAAGTGGTAGAACCACTGTACAAAATTGGGTGGGTGCTTTATAGATGAATGATGCCTTAGTTTCCCTCTAAAGGGGCAGCAGGAGCAGGGTGTTTGCTCCTGATACTCAGCCTTGGTTAAGCCATCCATTCCTGTCTTTGTCTATTTGGACACAGTAGGTATTGGGTGTCTGTCATGGGCCACACACATAGAAGGGAACACACCAGCCAAGGTTAACGAAGTACAAAATAGACAAGTACTTTAATGGCAGACAGTGTTACAGGCCCCGGAGAAAATAATCAGGCTGTCGTGATGGCCAGCAGCTGGGGTGGGGAGCTGAGGAGCAGCCCACCTGACCACCGGACCCCCCCCCCCCCCCCGGGAAACAGGGGCCCTGAGGCCAGGACACTGCAGGGTGAGGACATAGCTGATGCAAGAAACGCCAGGAAGAGTTCAAAGCAGAGGGAACAGCAAGTAGAAGGTCCCAGGAGCTGGAGTTAATTTACAGGAAAGAAAAGAAGACCAATGTGGATGGAGGTAAAGGGACTCAGAGTGGGGGTGGGGCTGAGACTGAGGGTGTGGGCTGTGGGGGTGAGGGTGGGCCCCCTGACACTCTAGACAAGAGACGACAGTGAGTCAGGGATTCTGGGTGGGGTCGGGGCTGCAGACGCTGACCTGGGGAGGCCTGTTTGGAGGCAGAGCCAAAGGTCAAGTGTAGACTGAAATGAGAGCAGCTCCCTGCCCCCGAAGCCCTTCCAGTTTGGGAAGGAGGAGGGAGGGACCTGTGGTGCCAGATCTGAGAGAAGCAGGAAGAGGGGGACTGAGACCTGCGCTGGTGCTCAGCGGGCAGATGTCCCCAGGGACCTTGACGGAGCTGTCCGGTTGGAGAGCTGTCCGGAGCTGTTGGACCAAAGCCTGACCAGAGCGGGTACCACCGAATATGGGAAGAGACTGCAGACAGCACACCCAGGAAGAAGACTGTAAAGACTGTGCCTCTGTTCAGGCTGCTGCAGCAAAATTGCCAGGCTGGGGGACTTCAACCCCAGACACGTCCTTCTCACAGTCTGCAGTCTGGGTGGTCGGAGACTGACCTGCAGTCTGCAGGTCTGGCTCCAGGTGAGGCACCTCTAGCTCCACCCTCATGGGGGAGACAGATCCGGTGTCTATTTTAGAAGGGTGCCAACCCCACCATGGGGCCCACCCCTATGACCTCATCCCAAAGGCCCCACCTAAATCCATCGCACCTGGAGTTAGCACTTTCCCCCCAGGAACTGAGCCGCTGTTTGCAGCAGAGATGCGGAGAAAATCGTTGGAGGGAAATGGTGGGGGTCAAGGGGTCGTTTTTTTCCTTTTTTAACAAGGGAGATGGTAAAGAACAGTCCAGAAGAAATGATATGCTGATGATTTCATGGGAGGGGGCAGGGCTGTGGGAGTGATGGTCTCCAGGAGGCACACGTGTGCAGGTAAATGCCTCAGATGGGGACAAGGACACTTCTTCCACAGTAACAGGAGAGGGAAGGCAAAGTCTGGGGTGTAGATGTTGCTGGGTGGATAGACTGGGCAGTGCTACCTGTAAACTCTCTTTGGATTCCTTCAGTGACCTTGAAGAAAGGTATGGACATCATCAGCTGAGAGGAAGGTTTGGGGAGGAGCACCTGGCAATGTGGCCACAGGTGCAATATAGTCACAGGAGAGGATTTGAGGATCGGCAGCCCCCCAGGGCTAGCTCGGGGTTAGGATCGGTTTCTGGAGAAAGCACCTGCATTTGTAAAGGTTGTTAATTAGGAACAGACTTGTAAACTGGGACAGGGAAGGTGGGGCGATGAAAACGGGAGTGCTGTGGGAGGCCGCTACCACTCCTAGGGTGTTTTAATTAAAACGAAGAAGCTCCAAGGAGGGGCTGCTCTGCCAGAGTCTCAGAGTGACTGCAAACTGGATTCAACGACCGCTTCTGGAATGCTCCAACTGCCACTGCTCGGATGGAGCAAGCGTGCGTGACACCCGCAGAACAGAACCAGCAGGAAGTGAACAGGAAGTCTCTCTCCCCTCCAGCCTGGTCTCCCCCTTGCCCCCTGTTGAAAGAACCTAGCCAGGAGCAGCTGGCTTAGCAGAAATGTGGTTTGCAGTCCAGAAGAGGAGGGTGGGCTTGGAGCATGGTGAACTGGCACAGTAGGCCCCAGTTTAGGAAGCCAGTCAGCACCTGTTTCCTCCAGCCATGGTCAGGCAGGATTGGGCTTTGGCTAGGTGAGTGTGCCGTAGCCAGGTAAAGGGGGTGGGGGGTGCTTGCAACTGAGCGGTTACACTGCAGGGCCCTGAGCTTAATTGGTAAGGACAGGAGGGTGAGGGTGGGGGAAAGTATTCCTGTTGTTACACAAAAATTTTAACTCCCACAGTGGAAGATCTTTTTAAAAGAATGGCATTTTTAGGCCGTTGCTAGCCCAAACCAAACCAAACAACAAACAAAAGACGGGGCTTGGGGCATGGAGTCTAAACCACTGGCCGTGGAGGTTTGTGGGCATTTTTACACATCACAGAGGGAAAGATGGAACTTGTTTGAAAAGGATTTACGTTATCTATGTAGACAAGGGGGAAGGGAGGCGCTGAAGCAGGACCAGTCCTGCAGTCTGCAGGGAAGAAGTGTCTGCTCCTGTGGGTTGGCTGTGGACAGCAGATGGGAACGTTTATGTGTACAGAAGTGGAGGCTCCGAAGTAAGTTTCTGTAATCACAAAAACAGACACCTGGAAATGACGCAACCCTCAATTCTAACCGATACAAGGGAATGTGAGCAGTCTGCTGTCAGAGCTGGTTCACTGCTGTTAACGGGGTAACTGTTCTCCTTCTTTCCTCTAGCGGCTGCGGTTTTAACTTAGAACATCTCTAAATTTTTCTTTCCTTGTCACAGTTGAACGTCGGTAGGTCTGGGGAAGACCCTTGCTACTCGGTTTGTGGTCCACGAAACACCACCGGCAGCAGCATCTTACGAGGAACGCACAGCCCAAGCAGAGACCCACCGACTAGGGCTCTGCCTTTTAACCGGTCCCGGGAGGTTCCTGTCTACTCGCCAGTTTGAGAAGCGCTGGCACCCGCGGAAACTAGGAGGTGACCCGTGGGTGGCGGCTTGCTTTTGAGATTGTGAAGGGCTCCACTTGTAGCGTACCTGAAGGCGGCTGGCAGGGCCAGCGCAGGGAGACCCAGCCCCTGGGCACCAGCTTCCAAACTGGACATCAGGTAGCAGAAAGCCGAAGTGTCCTCAGGCATTGGGAACCCAGGGCCAGAAGGGCCTGGCCTCTCCTCCCCAAGTTAATGGTTTCGACTCCCATCCTATTAGCTGGTAATTTATGGTCTAGTGAGTTTCTCCTTTCCAAGACTTTCAAACGTAGAGAGTACCCCTGGATTCCTCTTTGTGCTCATCAGCTCTGCCTCCCCAACTCCGATCCTTCACTACGAGACCGGCCACTCCACCACCTCCCTCCTTCCCTCCTTCTACTGCCTCCAGGCCTGCGCCAGGAAGGGTTTCGCAACCAGGGAAAAGCAATAGCTCCCAGATAGTACTGAACAGGGCAATGATGGCGAACAAGGGGCGTGGCAGAGTGATTGGTACGGTCTGATTCCTACGTGCTCTACGTGCTGCGTGCACTTTGCGTCTGCGCAGTTTACACAACTCCCTTTCTGTCTCCGCGGCCGCCATGGCTCCTATGGTTAGTATCGCTCCGCGTGAGGCCTCTGTACCGGGACTAGCACGTGGGTCTCCCAGGTCCGGCCCCGACGTGGCTCGCGCGGGACGGCGTTTTGCAGCGTTCGCCCGGGGCTGGACTGGCAGACTGGCCAGATTGGGACGGGGCTGCCTCCAGGCTCAGCACGTTGTGGGCGCGGGAGGCCGAGGCCTGGGACCAGAGAGGGAGACCCGCAGCTCTCAGAAGCCGCGGCTCAGACTAGGGTCTCAGTCTGCGGCCAGCAGGGAGCTGGAGTGCCAAGGCTGCAGCCTGGGCCGCTCAGCGGTCCGGGGGGCTCGGCCGGCTGGAAGCAGCTGGGTTCTGGGCCTGGTTACCTGCGCGGAGGGCGGCAGGGATAAGGGGACCTGCCACCCTTGGGAGACGCGCATCCGGGAACCTTATGGCCAGGTCTCGGGGACCTGTGGAAACGTGCATGCAAGGAGTTCTGATGGCAGGGAGAGGCCCGAGTTTGAGGATCCCTGTAGCATCATCCCCAGAGGAAGTTAGTTCAGGGCGCGGCTGTGCAGACCCTTTTAGATCAGGGCTTCGTTCTTTCTTAGCCGGGCTGGGACGCGCGGTGCGGCGTCCTCGGTCACTGCTCCCGGTCTCGCTCTAACCAGGCTCCTCCAGAAAGTTGGATTTCTGGCGTCCTCTTTTCGGGACACCCCTGTTAACACGTTCAGTTCATTGACTCTTCCTGGGTGGGCTCTTGCAAGCGCTTCTCCGCATTTTTACGCTTTTGCTTTAGAACCATAATGGCAGGTGTGTTTTTTTTGGGTTTTTTTTTGTCTTGCTGATATTTCCGGGGGTGGATCTTAAAGCAGTCCTTCCTATTGTAACTAGGAAGAGATGTCAAACCAAAAAAAATTAGTGATTTTCACAGTACCTAAATGTTTGAAAAGTTGATGCAGGTTAACGCAAGTTTTAGCTGAAGTTCTTTGAAGCATAAAGCGGGGATGTTAAGATGTGTTCTCGTAGAGGTTTTTTTTTGATTCTGCAAAAAGCTGTTTAGAGTGGAATTACATGTGAGTAGGTAGTACAGAGACTTTATAGATGTTATTTATTTTTAGAGAGATGGGGAAGGGAGGGAGAAAGAGAGGGAGTGAAACATCAATGTGTGGTTGCCCTAGCACACCCCATACTGGGGATAAGGCCTACAACCCAGGCATGTGCCCTGACTGGGAATCAAATGGGCAATGCTTTAGTTCGCAGGGCTGCGCTCAATCCATACAAAGACTTTTTAAAATGCTGTTGGCATTTATAGAAGGAGAAGGTTAATGTAAGGTGCTCTGTGAGAATGAAGGAACTAGAACCTTGTAGGGTAGGTGCCAACTAACTGTGTGAAAGTGCTAATTCATAGCTTAAGTTAGTCAAAAGTTCATGAATTGTTGTCAGAGTTGTAATTAAAGCCTAAAGTTTGTCTTGCCCTTGTCTGCTGGAAGGTAGGCTGCTAGGATGCATGGTCACTTGTTGCTCTGAGCGGGGAGGTGAGGCAGGGTTAAGGGAGACCCAGGCAAACTGGGACCAGACCCCGGGCTGGAGTGTCAGGACAAGTATCGATTGTAGATTAAAATTGTTTTAGGTATACATGCTAGGCATGTGCATGCCTGTACCCAGATCTTGGAGTGAAATAAATGTTTATGGAAATTCCGTGGCACATAAAAGGGAAAGTTAGTTTTACCGGGCTGCGTAAACTAGACCTTCATGCTCACTGCACTGGGGCAGCTGGAAAGTGGAAGTGGGTCAAGAGCGCTGGAGTGATTGTCCCTTCAAATAGGATCAGTTGCTCCCTCCTCCATTCTTGGGTGGGGGGTGCCTCTTGGCACCCTTGCAGAGGGACACGGCATCATGGATTTTGTGTTTATATGGGTTTTTCCCCCTCTGGTGTTTTTGGTTCTTTTAATTTTTGTGTGTGGGTGGGGGCTGGTTGTGCCTTCATCTCTGTTTGTATATTTTCTTAGAAAAAGCTTGTGGCGAAGGGGGGCAAAAAAAAGAAGCAGGTTCTGAAGTTCACCCTTGACTGCACCCACCCAGTAGAAGATGGAATCATGGATGCTGCCAATTTTGTAAGTTGTGCCCTTGATGCCACCGGGGCAGTCATGACCCTTTGGAGACAGTGCTGAGAAAACTCACAGGGGCACATCTGTGCTCTTGGCTCTTAGGCGGCCCCGTGGCTCTGGCCCTGCGCTGATCTCTGGACTGTGGTCCCGTCTTGTTTCTCAGTCCCGCCTTC